GTGTTAGTTTCTTTATGTTTTATGTCTGTAATGGAGGGGGGGGGATACAGGGGAGCCGCAAAAACCTAACAATTCAACTTACACTCACAATTTTCTTCGAAAATATATGTGAGTTCCACAAAAGGAAGCACTCATTAAATTTGTTGCCTTAAAATATCATAGTAATTGGTGTTGATGGTAATTTCTGAATATTATTGTTTTCGGGAACATCTTGTTCAGTATCTTTTACCTCGTTATTAAATTCTTCAGGTTTGTATGTTCAAAGATAGACAAGCCAAAGTAGTGAACTTGTCATAAATGTAGTTACAAGCGCTATTATAAGAAACATAGTAAAGAGGCGGGGTGAAAGAATATTAAGTTGAAGGCCAATATTTAATGCAATAAGTTCTATTAAACCTCGCGTATTCATTAGTATACCAACGCTCGTTGAGAATCTCCATGAACGTTTTGTTACACATTTGGTCATCAAAGTTGCTGGCAGAAATTTAGCTAGAGTATCAACAGCAAAAATAACTACAGTTATATCACCGTACAATTTATCATTTAACGAACCTAAACTTGTTCTCATGCCACTGGCAGCAAAAAATAATGGTAGTAACAATTCAACCGTGATCAATTCTATTTTTTCAAATAATTCAAGAGTAAATTGTCCTGATTTCAGACATATAACACCGACAATAAATGCACCGAAAAATGAATGTATATCAAGTGTATCACAAAAAAAACGATGATGCAAGCTAAGAAGAAGAAATATACCAATAAGAAATGAATGATTTATTTCATTATTACGTTGAATTAAAAATGTGTGTACTCGATTAATGGACCATCGAACAATAATAAACATAAAGAGAACATAACCAACAGAAATTAAAATCACCCTATAGATATATATCAAAAAAGTTTTGTGTTAATCATTGAAGTTTATTTTTTGATGTTTACTATACTTACCACAAGCCAGCAATACCTGACCCTTTGGCAAATGTGCCAGCAAGCGTCAATGAACACCAACCCATCACGTTGTTCATCGCTGCACAACTAACTGTTAGAGTACCAATTGGCGACGATAAAAGTTTAGCCGATGTAAGAATAGATGCTAGTACAGGAAAAGCAGTAGATGACATAATTACTCGATGCTGCAAATAGAATGAATGCAGTTCTATCAGGCGGTTTAAATCCATCGCGATTATAAATATCATACATATAGATAGAAAGTGCTGCACCAGCTCTATATGGTACAATAATAGTAGCAATAGATATTGGAAGTGAATATTCCCATTGACGTTTAATTTGTTTCTGTTCAAGCTCTAGACCTAAATTGAACATAAATAAAATAAAACCAATGTTGTCAACTAATTTAACATAGTTTCAGGATGATGGAGGAAATACACGTGTTAACCAAAAATCACTATTGCCCAATACTGAAGGACCAATGATAACTCCAGCAATAATCTCGCCGATAACCTATATTCATGATGTATAAAAATCAAAAAACTATATAGGATTCACTCTTCCTGGTGATTGTTTGATCAATGCAAGTAACCACTTCATAATGCGAACAAGTAGAATAATAATAAAGCTTACATGAGAAAACATGCCCAATAGTTAACATCCAATGATGGTACGCTTCTTGCTGTCTGAGAGAAAGAGAGTGCATGTAAGCATAGCTACATGAATGTTTTGTATATTTATATTGTACACAACATGAGACCAGCGACCGGTTCAAAAACTAGCTACCCAATCCTGTTCTATCTCAATCACGCACAGTGAGGCTGAATAATTGTAAAAGGTACCCTTCCCGTTCGTAGTTATTTTTCATCTCTTTCGTTTTGTATTTGTTGCCTCTTCTTGACTTACGTCTCCCATTCATAGTAAATGCAGAAATAATTGAAAATCGTTAGATCTATAATAAACTTTTCTAGGGTATGCAAAAAACATATAAAAGTCGCGCACGTGATAGGATTCTTTCTACTGAAACTGACTGCGTTTCATTCCATTTATTGTACTGGTTTGGTATTCGCTCCGTGTAAAAGTATAGGTAGAGAAGGGAACATTACAAACAAAGCTACATAGTGTAGAACGTGAAAGGGACCATGCGGCTGAAAAAATCGATCGAGATTTTCATTATAATTCAGATTTGATAAAATTTATTTATAGATTTCCTTTTCAAATATAGTTCAACGATCGAAACAGGTTGTTTATGAAAAAAATATATATTGCAACTGCTGAACCGATCGCTACACCAATAGCTTTATTATCAACACATATCTGTACTCAAACAGCTACAATAAAAAAAAATATTACATCCATGTCAGATTAAGAATATATGCCATTCATCTGTAACCTAATCAATATAGGTTCTGCAAGAATTTTTACAATAGCGTATTATTACAACTTCTATTTATTTTTGTCTTGGAGGATGTATTGAATCAAAATGAACATTTCGAAAAAGAATTTTAATTTATTAAAAAAAAGATCAATGTTATTTAATCAAACCCCTACCCAAAAAATATAGGAATTATAAGTCGAATTGCAAACCACAGTATTACAGTTAAAATCAGTTAATGTTAGACAGGGAGAGATAGTCTACTGAATACAAATCGAAGATATTTACTGGAGTTTAACTTCAAATTCAAACTATTTTCTCTTTCGATCTACGAAGAACATATATTTCGAGCTGATAATATATTGTGATGTAAAAACAAAATAATGCAAAAATGTTGCTCTCGAGCTCTAGCGTTAGAAGAATTTTGCCGCAAAGGTCCTGTTCATCGTACTACTTTAAAAACTTTTCTAAAATTTATGGATCGGAATAAGTACCATGATAGCTAAAGAAAGATGACACAAATAAAAGAGGTCGCTCGAATTTCTCGTTCAAATATTTTCTATTGGCCGGCCTATAACACGAAATTAGACACCGTTGGATAATTGAAGACTTGACTGTTTACTATTATATAAGTTAAAGAATCGACAAGTTATTAACCTGGTAGCACATACAATCAAGGTTTTGTATGCATTGAATCGATAAATATTGAAATAGTATGTATTTTTTTTTAGGCTGTACTTATAAATTAGATCCCTCTTTCATGTGTGGAATAAAAATTTATTTTGAATATTTTTCAGATAATTATGTCGGATGAAATAGCCAAAGCTCAAACGGCACAACCTACTGAAGATACAATCTTCGGTAAAATTGCACGTAAAGAAATCAAAGTTGATTTACTTCATGACGATGATCAAGTAATTTTGTTCAAACCGAATAAAAGCAAATCTTAATTTACATAATTGTATTTCTAGTGTGTTGCATTTCATGATATAAGTAAACAAGCACCAACACATATTTTGATTATACCAAAAGAACCTATTAAACAATTATCAGAATGCACTGTAGCACAAGAACCTGTATGACTTTAATGACGAATCATTCTTAAAGTTTTCTTTTACATGTTTGTAGTTACTCGGCCATTTATTATTTGTTGCTGCTCAAGTCGCTAAAAAGCAGGGCCTCAATGAAGATGGATATCGTTTAGTCATAAACAATGGACGAGATGGTGGTCAAAGTGTTTATCATCTGCACATACATGTGCTTGGTGGACGACAACTTGGGTGGCCACCTGGCTAATGACTATTTTTGTTTTTCAATAGAACAAAAAACAGACTTCTTTTTTAAGGTTGATAGTTTCCTACTTTTTTTCATTAAATCAACCATAACCAAATGAAACTGTTTTTTCGATTAAAGAAGAATAAAAATATAAGCTCTATTGAGATATAGAAGATTAATGCAAAATTCGAGTCGATTCAGTAAAAGAATTTTCGGACGCTTTCTATGTAGCAAACAACATAGTATTTGAATTTTATTGATTGATTGATTGTAATAGACCCATTTGTAAATCTAAATATTATAGTTTCGTTTATTTTAATATTGTCGAATAGACATCAAATATTTATCACAGAAAGACAATAATTCGAAAGCAACCTGGATGCAAATTGTATTACATCCAACCAACCGGATAGCCTCTTGCTAAATTTTCAGCTTTTAACCATGTATGCAATGGACTGAAAAAGTCCAATATAGCTTTTGATTCTAATCTATCTTCGCCTGTTAAAACTTTTAGAATGTCTTGCCATGATTTTGAACTTCCCATAGCTAACATTTCTTTAAATTTGGCTCCGACAAATTTATTACCATATATATCGCACATGTGTAATCGTTCCGTAACTCCTTGCAGTCGGCACATGGCACGATAGAATTGAAATTGAAGAATATGAGCAATAAAGTATCGTAAATAAGGAACATTCGATGGGATATGATATTTTGCACCTGCGTCAAAATTTACTTCATCACTTCGATCTACAGCTGCCATGACACCGCCATAGTAGACACGTAAAGCCCACCACCGAGAATTTAATTCATGTTCACGATCGATTTTACCACGGAAAAGTAAAAATCGATATTTATCCATTATGTAGCCAAATGGCAGAAAAGCAACTTTTTGCAATGCTAGACGAAATAGATAATTGATTTCGTAATGTTGATTCACAGCTTCTTCATCAAGAAAACCCAATTTTATTAAATGAGACGGCGAAACTAATAATAAATTTATAAAAAATAAATAAATAAATCATTCAGTCAATAAACAAATCTTACTTGCATACATTCCAATTGTATCTCCAATGGCTTCATGAAAACCCGAATTAGCACCATCTCGATAAGCAAATGATTGTTTTTCACCGTAAGCCATATAATATTCTACATGGCCCATTTCATGATGAATAGTATAGAAATAATCATCGTCTATTTCAGTACAAATTTTAACACGATAATCATCATGATATCCCATATCGGACGCAGCTGGATGACAAACAACATCACGGTCAGTTGGTTTTGTAAATAAACTACGAGCCCAAAATTTCGGTGTCATTGGATAAAGACCAATCGACGTAAAAAATGATTCGGATGTTGTGTACATCTGATGAGTCGTAAACTTTTTCTCAAGTAATACTTCCGTTATATTAACTAGAGGCGCATCCGGATAAGGCATCAAATCATCAAAACGATCATGCCATGTTTGAGCCCACATATTGCCTGAAAAAGATTGTAGATTAAATTTTCCTATAAACAATAAGAAACAAACCGAGAATATGTGCTGGAATAGGTCCATTACAACTAAAACGATTTGAATACATTGAACATAAACGACCTCGAACATACGCGTGCAATTGTTCATACAATGGCATAATGTCCTTTAAGAGTTGATCAATAGTACCTTCGAATTCTACAACGCCACCCATCTCATAATCTTTAATCCAATATTCCTGATAAAGAAAAAACGTTTGATAAACTCGTTCAACGATGTATTATTTAAATCAGATACTTACAGATAGATCAGTATATCCATTTTCTTTGATATTTTTATTCAATAGATCAATATAAGATAAATAAACTGGACGAACTTTATTTCCACATTCATCGTGCCAACCTTTCCATGCCCATGTTAAACGATCATAATCTTTTTCAACTTGCATAACCCGTTCTAAATACGGCGAAAGTGCATAACATTTTTCAGGATCACTTGATTCGCAAACTTTTGCGACTGCATAAATATTTTCTAGTTGTGCATGTAATCTAGACGCTTGTTTCAACTCAACCATATTATCACTGACTACACCTGTTGCTAAACGACCGAATATACGTTTTAAATCGTCATTTTCGGATTCTTTTAAATTTTCATTAAATTTTTTTGCTATTGGTAATACTTTATGGCTAAATGGCGACTGAAGGAGACTTTGAGCAGTCATTAATTTTTGATTTTCTTTAGTGATATTTGTCTCATAATTCCAATGGAGATGTGCACTTACCTAAATAGAAGAAGAAGAAGAAGGAGGAAAAACTGATATAAATAAATTCCACTGTATTTAATTTTAATTTTACTTGATGATGGCGTTGTGCTATACGAAGATACCATTTTAGCCATGCTGTCGCAGTCACTTCATCTGAATAATCAATAATTGTTGGCATTCTTTTTTCATCTTCTGCATTTAATCTATTCCATAATTCAACATTTACCCGATCATTAGGATCCACTTGTGGTTCTGTATTGACCGAATCTGGATTATTATCATTATTTGCGTCGAATGTAATTGTTTCGTCAAAGTCTTCGGTAAAATGTAATTTCAAAATATCTAACAGTTGTTCGAGTCGTTCGTCGAAATGATGGTTACGTTTTCGGTATGATATTGAAAATTCAAATGAAGAAATAAATAAAAGACTAATAATAATAATACAATTTTTCATTGTATTTTATTTTTGTAAAATCTAAAACATAATTTTCTAATAAAAATATTATTGTAGCCTTTTTCTCGATCAAACTTCTGGTTTGTACATTCTAATGAAATATGTACTTACTGATTGTGTGCCTTTTTCTTTTTTATATGGTCTATACACCCACGCAGCGAAAAGAAAACAATATGGTGAAGTTATCAACATGTCTATGAAGGCTTTTCAACCAATATTTATGCTATTACTTAATACCGAAAATGAATCGATCGTTAGATTATTTTTGCATAGTTCTGGTTATTAACAAGTTTATAAGTCGCATATAAATATTACAACGTTTGCTTTTTCTTCATTATATGATTCCTGTACAATCATTTATTTTATACCAACGGGCATAGTCGAATTTTGTATTCTCCTACTTACGTGATTCGTTGTGCACAACTACACATGCCAGAGAAAAAACGATTCTCTGTTACCCCCACTTTGCGATCAACCTCTGTATACGTGTATATTTTTTTCTTCTCGTATTCCTACGCTTTTTTCTTTCTGTACATATACAGAATAACGATATTATTCGTATGGATTGATACCGCTGTCATCACCCAGCGCTAAAAATGATGATAAACTTATATTGATGATTAGGTTCTGTGTAACGACATTATCGTTTCGTTTGTTTTATGGCAAAACAACAAGCTTTGTTCAATATTTTTTTCTGTCATCTATGCTATTAAGCTTCAAAAGATTGGTTGTGTATAATGATTCATTCGTGTCGACTCTTGATGTCATTTGTTGAAAAGAAAATCGCGATGATTAATGCATTAGAAGCGACAAGTGTTAACAGTTATCAGAAGTTTATATTCTATTCTGCAGAAGAAATGCATTCATATATATATGTAGTATGTACATGAAAATCATTGGCTGTTTTCTATTTTACATAATGATGACATTGTTGATAAGCATTGAGTTGTTGACGGTTGTTAAAAGATGAGAGATTTAGATAGATTTTCTTTATTTTAATAAATATAGACAAAAAGAAGAAGAAGAAGAAGAAGAAGATGGATATATAGTTATAATTATGTATTAAATGTTTTATTTATTTATTGAATACACACAAATAGATGATTAAAAAAGTTTGCTTGTTGTTATTGTAGAAATCGTCTTGTTCATCAATGTTTATTTGTTCAGGGCTAAAAAATAAAAGAATAAAAATAAAAAATAAAATTTTAAAAAAATGAATAAAGTGAAAGGAAAAATGACATGCAATGTGACTTTCTAACAAATAGAAGAAAGACAAAAACTTACTCGATAAAATGCATTTAACTATATTATATTGATTCGTAAGAGTTCGTTTTAATTATGAGATTTAATTAATACTAACCTGCTTTTCCATTTGCAATTGCTGCATTGTTTTCGCTGGTGGTGTATTAGTGAAGAATAAGTCACGTGTTGTTTTCGCTGGTTTTGAAGATAGACCGAGCAAATCAAGATCACCAAATGGATTCGAAACCGTTGCTGGAGCAATCGGTGAAGTAGAAGTAGGAGTTAACAAATTTGATGGTGCTTGTGCTTGTAGAGGAGGAGGCATCGATGAATATCCCATTGTTTGAGGTGGTTGATTATACGTTGGTGTAGTGTTATAACTCATCGATTGTGTGTAATAGCCAGTAGTTGGATTAATTACTGGTAGAGAAGGTATCGGTGTTGGAGGCGTATTAAACCATGGATCCGACAATGGATTATTATTTGCGACAGGAACCGTAGCTTGAGGAATCACTGTTGCCGTTGTTAGTCCACCGAATATATCGGCCAATGGCTACATATTTAGAGAGAAAAATTGCTATGAATAAGTCAAATCGGTATGTTAAAAGTTTTCTTTCGTTTTCGTTACGTACACTTCACACCAAATATGATAAGATAAAATTATGTAAAAGAAAACCTAAAACATTCTTAATTTGCAAATCTTACGTCAATTGATTGTGGAGGTGGTGATGTTTGTGTAACAGCGGCAGGAGTCTCATTGAAATTGAATAAATCATCCATTGGTTTCTGACTTGGTTGTGTAGTTGTTGTTGTAGTAGTAGTGCTGTCTCCCCAAAGATCACCATCAATAATTGATGGCTAAAAGCAAAAGAAATGAGTTTTCTTTAAAAACAACTAAATTAGCCAAACAGAAAACTCACTGCCGCAGCTGGAGGAACATCGGGTGTTAGAAACAGCGGTTGTGGTGGTTGTGGTTGTTGTTGTTGTTGTGGTGATTGTGGTGGTGGTGGTAGTGGAGAAACAGGCACAGTTTGTGTTGGTGGTAAGACAGTAGCAACTGGTACTGGCGCCTAAACGGGATTTAACAAATAGTTTAATAATTGAAAGTTTCTAGAATTGATCTATACTTGTGCTGGAGCAGTCTGCACCGGTGATGGCGCTGGTACAGCTGGTGGTTGATTTGTTTCTCTAGCTTTTTCAGCATTTGTAAATTGTTCAAAAGCAAACTCAAATAGCTCTTTAAGTGCAAGCACAGTTACAGCAGCTGCTCGCTCAGTTTTAATAGCCCAAAATTGATGGCGATCATCAGTTGTATTATAAATATATCCAAATGCTCGTGTATCCCGAGGATCAATAACAACAAATGATATACGTTCAATTTCATGACTAGCTATTTGTACCTAATATGCCAGCCAACGAGAAAAAAAAATTAAAAACAAAAAAGTCTTTTTTTCTGAAAATACTTTAGTGGCGTCATCGATAATTTTAACAGCACTTGTAGTTAAGTTCATTTGAACTTTTTGTTTGTGTTCTCCGCGAGCACTCACAACAGCTTTGAGTTTAAACATCGAATCGAGACAAATTTTTTCATTGCGATCAATCGATAAATCTTCCATACCAATGAGTTTACCTTTAAATGGAAGTCCATCACCTTCGAATTTTTTCCCATTTGAACCATTTGCTGTCGTTGCAGCACCTTTGACTTCATTGTCTTTTGTCGGTGTTGCTGCGGGCGTCTCTGGCATCTTTGTATAACTCGTAATTGTTGCTAAATGAATAAAAAAAACAAAAAGACAAAAAAACGCAACATGGGTCAATATAAGTGAAAATGATAAGAGATTTCTTTTTCTTCGTATGCTGATATCTGTTGCTTATTCATTTGAAGATATTTGAGAAAGACAGAGATAAAATACAAACTAAAAGCGTTGACTATTTGGTGTAAGAAAAACGAAGCAACAAAAGAAACAAGGAGATAACTAGATACATGCGAGTGTCTAAGTAAATATTTAAAATGAAAATGAAAAATGTGCTTCCTACTAATTCAGAAAGTGTTTTTTTGGAGATCTTCATTTCTTATAATAGATCTCAATAAGTAAATAAATCATTTAGAGAGTAAAAGAAATAAAACTCGTCTCTCGGAAAATTTATCTCGATTTTCCATCGTAGAATTCGAGTCTTTGACAAATCGTATATACACTCTTGAATTTTGTATTTATGGCTAAAACATGCATAGAGGAGTCATTAAAGCTCTCTACTGATCAATAAAAGTGTGTAATTATCTCGTTGGTTAAGTTATGCGGAAAATTAAACTTCGTACATCGTTATCAACAAGATATTTCAGTTATTTTTCGATGTGCTTTTCTCTATGAAACTAGATAAGCTATAATTTAAGTCTAACAGAGTTCACTACAAATTTCTACAATGAAATTTTCCAATTGAATTGTTTTTAAAAGATCTTTTTAATTCGTTACTAAAACGCACATTTCGACTTCTCATGTTTTTCTAGATTCAAACTTTTATCAACAATGAATGTACGACCGTTGTTTCGCTGTAATCATTACATAATATCGATTGTGAAAGATTTACAATTGCTGGACTATAAAGTAATTCAGCTGTAATTTTTTCACGTGTTAAACTAAATGAGCTGCAAACAACAATGTTCATCTAGAATGGGTCAATACGACAAAACATAACAGACAAAGAAAACAACTTGATGATGTACAGCCTTAGACTAGACATGAACCGCGCCGTGTTCACTTAGAATAAATAAATCATGACCAAATGGCATTCCGTGAAGTTTGTTGCGTCTAAAAAAATGTATTGAACCCGACGTCTGATATCATATAGTTCATATAATATTGCAAAGTAAACATCTTTCGAATATTTTTCCAAAAGGTTAATGACATTCTGCTCGATAACCTTTTCATGCGCAAAGTCAAATGTCACGCTCGCCTTATATTCTTTTTTGTTTCATGACTATACGTGACTTGAATTTACTCTAAATAAACTTGAATACTTTACGCCATAGCTGTTTACCATAAAATCTAGGTAGAATAAAATTGTATTAATATTTTGTCATTAACAAAATCGTATTCAACTTCTTTTTATCGTGCATTTATAGACCTACATAGGGCAACCGACAAGAAATTAAAAGAAAAAATGTGACTCGAAATGAACCCATTCACCTAAAATTAGAAATGAATAGTAAGACTGAAAAATCCATGTTTTGACTATAAAATTAAATAACACCTTTCAAGAATTATTTTTGCTTCGGTATTCACTATAAATTCCAGGAAGCGTCTATAAAAAAAATCTGTGCATGATTGAGAGTATTTTGTGTTCTACCCCCTCCCCCCTCCCCCCATATTAGAAGACCCGTGGTCTTTTATTGTGGGAGGGGGTATTGTCCTTTTTATAATTTATAAAAAAAAAAACATTCTAGATATTTATAACTAATGACTCTCTCGCGCTCTTAGTGCTTTCCTCAGATTATTTTAACATCTGAGAATGTACTTAGACATAGAACAAACATTCAAATAGGTATTTCTAATTTAAAAAATGTGGAAACATCGGATTTAAATCCGAGGTTTTCGCATTTATTCTATAAGGCATAGATCTCATCAAGATACATCCCTTGTCACTAAATTGCAAGGAAAAAATACAGGCTTGCTAAGTTAGCATGGACCACACTGTATGCGACCCTGTCCGGTGACCACTGATTCTACTCTCAGAGTGATATAATATCTTTAGAGATCACAGAAATTGAGTTCAGATTCGTGTCTAACTTGGAAAACTGGGTAAGAAGAGTTATTTTTGAATGGATTTGCGTTTTTATCTAGCGAGATCCCGATCGTAAGCAACCTCGTGAATCTATAAGAGATATATGATAGATACAGGCATCAGTATTTTCCTAATAAATCACCAATATTAATAGCTATCGTGGTCGGGTTTTTACTTTTCGATAGTCCTTTTGGCTAGCTACAAAACCAAGCATTTGGGAAACCCCAAAAAACTACTGGTCATCTGAGACCTTTTCTCAGGCGATGTTCTGTTAAAAAGTTACGATTTGGTTCAAAACTAACAACAGATTCGGAATCAGCGTTAAAAACTGAGTCGATTTATATATGTTGTGAATAATTTTGAGAAAAACATTTTTTTTTGAAAAAATCCCTGCACTCCCTCAGGGAGTTTGGTCAATAATGACCATTTTTTCGATAGCTCAGCCATTCCTTGGCGGATCCTTCTCATCTTCGAGCTCGACTGAGATATTAATGAGATCATTCTGTGTGCAAAATGTCATGGCAACTGGATGAGGCTTTCAAAAGTTATCATGTTAACGGACGGACGACCGAACACACTGACCGAATCTAGTGTACTCACTTTTTGAGTACACAAAAAGAGCACATGCGCTTCTTCAATATAAGAAGTCAACTGTTCATTGTTTTTATGTACTCAAAAAAAGTGAGTACACTATAGAATCGGTCAGTGTGTCCGGCCGGCCGTTAACACGATAACCTTTGAAAGCCTCATCCAATTGTCATGAAATTTTGTACACATAATGATCTCATTAATATCTCAGTCGAGTTCGAAGATGAAAGCAATCTGTCAAGAAATGGCTGAGTTATCGAAAAAATTGTCTTTATTGACCAGACCATCCCTGACGAGGGGGACAGCGATTTTTTCAAAAAACAAATTTTTTTCTTAGAATTATTCACAACATATATAAATCGACTCAGTTTTTAGCGCTGGTTCCGAATCTGATACTAGTTTTGAACTAAATCGTAGCTTTCTAACGAAACATCGCCTGAAAACGGTCTCAAATTGCACAAAAACTGCATCCAGAAACCAAAGTGCCTAGTTTCTCATGGTAATTTTGGTGTTCAGACATTCTAGAATGACTCATATGTCCCATGTACTTTTTGCAGTACACATAGCTTTCGGATGAAATCCGAAGTTTCCACATTTATTTTAATTATGAAATTTTATTAAACACATCTTAAATTTCCTCCTAAGACAATAATAACTGATCCTATTCCACGTATGTCTCAATGAATTGATAACTTGAACATTCATTTTTCCTTTTGAATCGAGACTTGAGAAAATTCTTTTTTTTTCTACTTACTAATCGAACTTGATGAAAGACGCATCTTCACTTGTATTCAAATAAACAATTCTATTGATCATATACACATACATCATCACACATTGATTAGATAAGATCTATGTCATATACGTTTCGAATTTCTTTATTTGATTTTTAATCAACAACGAACATTTATATATATGCATACATATCTATGAAACAGAGGAGAAGAAGAAAAAAGGCCGATATTTTTATGTTCCTAAATGAGTCTTTTATTTGTATTTAAATCCGAATACAAATCCACTTGTAGTTAATATTGTAGAAGGTGAAGTTCGGTCCATTAATTGAAATTGTTCACAATTTGATGAGCGATTTGGATTTAATGAATTTTCATTATCGTAAAAACTTGAATGACGAAAGCAATGACAAATATTTATTTTTAATTTCATAAAAAGACGTTTCAATTCACGACGAAATTTTGAATCAAATAAAATATAAATATAAAAATTTATTGCGAATGATATTTGATATATTGAATGAAAATATTTTTCCAATAGACGAATTAATTTTGTTTCAACTGTTTTGTGTCCATATAGTAAACGCCATGTATGAATAGATGCATATGGGGCACATATTATTAAATATGACGTTGAAACAGCTAACAATAGTTTCGTCATTTTACGTGAAGCACTTCGACGTGTTATTTCACGAATTTGATTCAATTGAGAATGATTTCGAAAAAGAAATTCACGTGGATTTTGTTTCATTCGTCGTAAAGATATTAATATAATTGCATTCATTACTATGATCGAAATATACGGAATAAGAAAGACAACAAAACAATCCACTATATCCATTAATTCATTTATCCAACGTAAATGTTTCAATGAAAAACATTGCCCATTAACAATACCGATCAGAAATGGTAAATATGAGTAAATTAAACAAGCAATGCATATTATGAATAAAGCTAAACACCGAGAACGATACCATGAAAGTACATGCGATACACGAAATGGTTTTACAACAGCAAATAAACGTTGAGCTGTAAATGACACTGTATAATAGGCACTTATAAAATTGCATACGTATGTTAAATATAATGTTAATTGGCAAACTACTGGACGATGAAGAATATTTATATAATTCGATAGCCATAAGCAAAATAAAATAGATAAATATATTGTATCCGAAATAGCCATATAAAAGAGAAATGGATACACGGACATATTCGAGCCCATGGATGCAATCGTCGTGCGTAATGCTCGTTGACCAAAAACAATAATTACAAAACCATTTCCAATGCATCCGATTACCACTAATAGTAACAAATAGACATGCCGGAAGAAAAACTCCAATAGAGTTGTATGTGATAGCAGTTTCACCGTATTCAAACTATTATTTAAACTAGTCGATGTGACATTCTCCGCATCAATCATTATTCAAATCTAAAATATCAATTTAATTCAAGATTTTTATAGTTTCTGAGTGTTTCTCGTAATGATGAAGAATGGTTCGATGATTGCGAAAAAGAAAATCTTTTTAAATAACACTCATTAAATGTGAAATGACTCTTATAGGAAAATAATGACGTAGTATACCTGGTTCTTCTGCTTCTACTTAAGTTTTCTTCTACTTGTCTCTTATGTCATATTTCACATAATGATAGTTGCGAATTCAAGAACATGATTACACCCTAATAGATACTAAACTTCTAGACAATATATCATATTCATATGCAAATAACTAACTAATCTATTTAGTGTCTTAGAATTTATATTAAACGAGATACCTCATGACTGGAATGCAAACAGAAAAGAATAACAAGAGGGAAATTTGAAATATTTCTACACAATAATACAATAGTATATATTTATAAATCTACTAAAGAAATCTACTTCAATGCAACATAAGTCAATTATGGTGTAAACAATCTTAATGAGGAGAAAGAAAAATATGTAGCATACGTTCTACATGCGGCAGACTTTAATGTTGTATAAGGTAAATGTTGTCTGTTAACTGTCGCGGGATGTTTATGTTATTAAAAGTTCTATGTGTGTGAGTGATTAACTTTTTTTTCTGCTGCAACTGCAAAGTTAATGATACGCATGGAAGAAAAACTATGCGAAAATGATAAATAATTAGTCAAATCGTATGAATAGTTCGTTTTCTCGGAATGCTTTCTTTCCCTCTAGATTAATGATACATGCGTGTAAAATAATTAACGATCTGTTTACTCACGAAGAGTCAACATAATAATTATGCAGCAAAAATAGATGGACATATGTCATAAACTAGAAACCTATTGCAAGATTGAAGACTCGATGTAACTGAATGAGAAAATGTCTCATGAGAGTGCTATGATGATTGCAACAGAAAAGCGTTAACTCATTGAACTGTCAACTAACAGCTAATTTCTTTTCCATGCTTGGAAGCAAAACTAATCCCTACCGTTTACGTGACCTGATTGTTATCTATCGTTGGAGCTATTGAGTAGAAAAACACAACGAACATTCCGATTAGTCATATGGCAGCCAAAGAGAGGAAATGAAACTGTAGGATTAGATACGCAGTTTTCATGATAATATGTTAGTCAACTAGTGCGAAGCATAGACTGAAACCGGGTCGAGTCGAGTTTGATTTGAGAGACTCGACTTTTTTAAAATTTTCACTATTTCTTTCAACCGTTTCTCGACATTGACCGTTATTATCAGTTGTTGCGTTGAAATGATGCAAATCTCACTCATTGCAGTGAATTAATCGAACAAAAAATGCAACGGCAATGAACTGACGACGTCCAATAGACAACAATGAATGGCATACAATGACTTTCATTGTATTCAATACATCAGGTTCTATTCACCAATTAGTCATACAACAATGGATTGACCGGGTGGATTCCGGTTGTGCCGAAATGAACACCTCTAAGGCAAATTACTTCAAAGCATATCAAAGCAGTAGGGGTGTGGGTGAAGGTGATTTGTCGACGAAACTGGACCTAGCCAATCGACTGATCACGGATACAGATAATTGTTGTTGTTGTTGAAAACATCTGCTTTTGAAAATTCGTTGTTTGAGTCGTGGCTCGAGCCGGGTCGAGTGAGACTTTTTTCAGGCACATGCCGAGTCGAGTCGGATGTTTTTTGGCTCGTTTCGGACTATGGTGTGAAGTAGTAAAATTGATGCGAACTCCAGATGAAAACAAAACAACGTGTTGCGCCACAAACGGAAATAATCTTTTAAAGATATTTTATCATCATACATAATAAAAGTCAACACTATTGAGAATCTTAGTTCAACACTTGTTATAGTTAAAAAATAATCGATAGAAAAGAATGCGAACCATCAGTTTATAAAAAAAAACAAGAAACAGACGGCAGACCTGTCAACAGCCGAGTCATATTTGTTTTGTATTTTTAACATTAAACATATTCGATAAACATCGAATACTTAGAATTTTGTATTTTAGCAAAAAAAGAAAAAGAAAAAATGTTGCTATTTAGATAAATACAAAAATTACCATTACCATGCGTTTGTAGACCTAAAACGGTCGTTCGTATAGAGAAAATGAGAGTTTTTAATTTTAGCCTGCCAATTCGACTGTAACCGCATTATCACGTCTATTTAATGGATAAAATGATAATTATCTTATGAATATTCTTTTATCTCAGTGGATCATAAAACAAAGAAAAGCGATTTCGTTTCAATATTTCATGTATTTAGATCCGTAGAATTAAGTATGGAAACAACCAGCGATATCAATTTACGCTTTTCTCGGTTTTGAAGCATCAAATGATCTAGTTTGAATACATATACACTGAGCAAAGTTCTCGTTATAAATGAAATAAAATATTCTAAGTCGCACATAAGCGCTACGTTTTTTTCTCTTCACGCCTACAATTACTAAGCACGGTACCAATGATATGTAATCATTGAACTCATATAAACTTTTGTTGTTCTCTTTGACGTTTATGATGAACTTATTCCGATATTGAAAATTACTTTCATTAAAATTTAATCCTGTAAGACGATAGATATGCATTCAGTCATGATCAATTCTTGTTTTGTTTTCTTTCAGTTGAACAATTGACGAAGTTTCTCTTCTCTTGTAAAACACCACTATACCCAACCCAATAATCAGGCGAGGAGTCCGTTTGATTCTAGTCTTTTTTTGCTAAAGCTTCGATGATAAATGTATTATTTTACTTTTGAGAGAGTTTTCATTTTCTACTTTGATGATTCGCATCACATTTTTCTATTTAATAGACTACTAATCTGAATCGATGAGCATAATATATGGAAATGTCAGTCGAATTAATGGCTTGAAATGACTTTTTTTTATGACAGAAATCTTCCTCACTTGCGCACGTGCTGCTCAATTTATAAGCTTATTGACTTTTGAAAATAACGATATAGCAATAAAAAAAACAACAACACATCTTTATGACGATGATAATGGAGTGGTTTTTATTAATCCACAATAAGATAAGAATGTACATTTTATTAGGCTCAATCGAAAATTGAAGTGAGATTTCCCGATTGCATACTTTTACTCCCGAGAAAATGCATTTTTACAAAAACTAGATAGCTCAACGTTTCGATTGAAATTTAAAAACGGTGTGCTCTTTCTAATCGAATGATTCTTAGCTTCGAAAAATCTTTCGTTTTGTGGCAAAAAATGAGCTATATTATTCTTTTTATTAAAATGCGTTTTCTCAAGCGTAATTTGAGAAATACATAGTAGACTATTACGTGTAAGAAAAAGAAGAAAAAAGTATGTTTGATACTTGTGAGATCAATTCCAATGTTCAGTCGATTGAAATAGCTCGTATTTTATTGCTATTTATACAACAGAAGCAAAGTGAAGTTTCAATCAAGTCTCAGGAAAAACTTCAACATAATATCCTTACTTCAAAAGATCTTTCGTCTCTATGCATCACTTCAAAAACCAATGAAAAAATGGGAAAATGGCACTTCGTCTCACTTCCTTTTTACGATCTTCTGATATGAAAAAAATACATGGTGTTCGGAATCAATTCTGGCAATAGTTTTTTCATCGGATATAACCATTGAAAAAGCTATTTTCAGAATTGATTCCGAACTCCATGTAAATTTTTCTCTTTACGAACATCAAAATTTGGCTGGAGATCGTAGTCAGAATGTCCGGATGTTCGTAATGGCAAAGACATGGAAACCGAAATAAAAAAAAAGACGACACGACTTTCGCAAGTATGTTCAGGTTTTGTTTCCCTGTGAGGAAATATGAAATGATACGCTATAGTCGCAACCTAAAATCACGTATCGTCAAAGTTTCGGCGGATTCAAGCAACTACGATTGCACTTTTGTTTACTATGATAACTCTAGTGTTAATGTGCATCAGCATTCCATTTATTCTTCGATGAATGTACACGTTTTTGAACCTGGCTATTTGTTTATTTTTCGATGTTGAAGCAATGAGATCCGATTGAGATGATGAAGTGCAAGATGAAGACGAAGCAGCAGTAGTATGGTCGGCGGGTCTAACTCTAAGACTATTCAATATTGGAGTTGGACGTAGATAAGATTTAGCAACAGCTTGCTCAGTTGTTGCTTTCGACAACTGTTGGTTTTTAATCAACTTATACCCTTAGAAACAGCTTCTGAGACTATAGCACAAGGAGTATAGGTAAAGAAAGAATAATCGTCTACTTGTATAATCATAGATGTAATACAAAAAGCAACCTATTATTGTTTATAAGAGCCAAACATCTTTATATCAATTATAATATCCTTATAAATTCTTTTACGGACTCCACATTTAAGTACCCTTAGCATTCCCTTCCGGACTACCCACGATGTTTGCTGCGATCTCCAGATGTTACATTAAATATAGCAAAATACTCTATTCCGAACATCCTGTAAACACATTCCGATCTTCCTATTGTCTACTACGATATCTGGTACGTAGGCGTTTACGAACTTCCGTCATAAATTTTTACGAATAAAATTCATTTCCGAACATCCGACAGCGTTTGCCGGTGTTCGAAAGAGATGAGACGAAACGTAAGTCACCCGAAAAAATAGGCAATTCACTTCTTTGATAGCAGCATCAAAATTTCCTAACTTAACTACATCAGCGGAAAAAATAATTTTTTGATCTCGAATAATAGGGCTTAATACACTAAAAGTGAAAGAATATATATTGATGAGAGATCACTATTTTGCATCATACAAAAAAGCAATTCAGCAGAATTCTTGTGACAATGCCTACTGAGCACATTAATAGATCATAGGAACTGGAGTTTTTTCTGTTTGCATGAGAAAAACTTCATCAAGTTGCTAACTGTAATTACAGTAAAAGAGAATAGTGGCTGAATCTTATTAGTGTGAGGAACCTTGAGAAAAACAGTTACCGCATGTGTTAGATTTGAGAATTCGGTCACGATGATCTTTTCAGCATTCAAGGATGATCATAGCAAAAGGCATAAAGTATTTTAGACGGAAATAGTGACATATAAGTCAAAGAGCGGCAAATTCCAATATCATGTTGATCTTTCTTTTTGAACTGCTGAAATTAAGTAGGACAACGGCTTATTTTCACGATCGGAAAACGACTAACTGCTGCTTTCTCTTTCAAAAAAAATGGGTCGAATTTTTAACATTTATTCGCGTGAAAAAATAAATTCCAAAAGATACCAAGAAAAAATATATTAATATTTTTTTTTAATATAGTGAAAAGTACTCGAAAAATGCTCTTAGAAATAAATCAACTACAATTAAATTATTCTCATTGCCCGGCTTTTTACGAGCTATTTTGGTAGTGTTTGAAAGTAATTAGTACTGAAATAGTAGATTTCCATAAAAAAAAAGGAGAAAATATAGCTGTGTACTTCGATAAAACTTAAAATTCTTGGTTATCCTATTTTTATGCTCTTTTTCAATTAGTAATCACGGAAAATGTTCAAAATATCTTCTAATTTGGATTTTATCTAAGCGCATCGGGTGGAAAACTTTAAAAACCATTATATTTCAACAAGCAAAATTATATTAGTAAAAGTTATTACCGTAATAACCAACTCTTCAATAAAGTACATATCTTGACGGTTCTGTTTAATAAACGCTAAATTATTTTAAATGAGGAAAAGCAAGACAGCACATAAATAAAGAGAATAATAATATAATATATAATTAGTTCTTTTGGCGAAAGCTATTCCTAAACGTTGCAAAAAATTTTGAGAGCAAAATAATGTCACCAAGCCTTTCCACTGGGATCTGACGATATAGGTGTTTTGATCGCATTCCATATATATATATATATCTTTTCTACTACATAGATGCACAGGATAGAACAAGAGAAAAGAAAAAAATCTCGAGTGCTTTCAGATCATATAACATCTTTTTTTCGAAGTGCACTTTTTCGACGGCAATACGTTCAGGAAAAAAATGAAGAGAATACTTTTTTTTCTTGAATCTACCTACTGAATTCAACAGTACCTGAAAAAAGCAAGGCCATAAAATATAAATTTATTGATAAGTCTATACTGTTTCTTAGCGCAATAATCAAACATAAAACCATTAAAAAAGAAAGAAAGCAAATCACGAATCACAAAGGAAAAAAAATTACTTAAGCTCTTTGGCTTTTTTTAAAAAACTATCGTCTATTTGTAGAGTGATCTTATGCCAAGCATTATTCATAACGCCACGAACATTCCAAATTCCTAATGGAGTATCCGGTTGGGTATTTCCATGTGTATCCATCGCGCGGCAAACAATATCGAATGGTTTCGAAGGTATATCACTGGCATTGATATGATACGTCCACAACGTCCATGACCACGCACGCATATGGGGCTGTGCAAGTTGTTCAAGTTCCGCTTGAAACCAAGTTTTGCTAGAATAAAAATTAGCCTAGCGTCATTTCAATCAGTTGCATCGTATAAAAACAGCTAAATAGAATATCAAAGACGCATATTATTCCTTTTATTTTCAACTTTTGACAGAAGCGGAAATTAGTATTCACTCAACAATTAAAGCTTTTCTTCATTTTTTCTTATTGTGTCGTATAGATTTAGAAATTTTATTTTCTGCTCCAATTCACATTTTCTTATTAACTCTAGAGAATAATTTTGAATGGGCTATGATTCTATATTTGAGAACTGCTATTTATAAAGCTTGCTCGTTTTTTTTGTTCTTTGAACTTTCATGGACTATAAACGTTTGAAGTGCAATTTTTTTTCTAGGCAATCCTGAAAACATATTATTGCCTATAAATAATAAACTACTGAATACAAATCTATTGAAAATCGAAATGGGACATATTAAAGTGACTTGCAGAGAGTACAGTTATCTAATGAAAACAAATCATTATACAAATTTATTTATCATTCAAAAAAGGTTCCTAACTCTGGCGTGTCTCCAAATCTTCTTGATTAAGTTCTTCGACTTTTACGCCAAGTTTGTTAATCTTCGCAAGAGTCATTTCGAATATACTTTTATGCTCTATAATATATTTCTAGAACTCAAATGAATAAAAAATTCTGTTTGCTGATTCATGAATTTTTGAAGCCAAAATAACGATTCGAATTACGTTTCAACAAAAATGCTCACCCATGATCAAGACTGATCTGTACATTTTGTATCGCTCTTCCGCCTCCACCTAATGCATAGCCTTTAACTGTAAGTCGTTTATCTTTATCATTTGGTTTTACTGATAAAACTTTAATTTTATTTCCATCCTCATCCGACGACGGAGAACAAATAGCAGATTGCACATTGGATTCTTGCAAAGCAGGTACTCTATCAAAATCGGCTTGTTGTGGTTCTTTTATTGATGGTGGAAGAATTTTATAATCAGACATTTGCCAATGACTGTCGGCTTCTTTATCGGAAACAATAATTCGATTCACCCATTTAACACTACGAGCTCCAATTGTCCCCGGTACAATTACACGTAGAGGATAGCCATGATCACTCGATAGTAATTCACCGTTCATTTCATACGCAAGTAGCACATCTTCGCTGAGCGCTTTTTCCATTGGAATGGATGCACCATAACATCTTTAGATACGAGAAAAATTAAAATATTTACAATTTGGTTTAGAAAAAAAATCTTACCTTTGTGATGTATCACAATCGAGACCCCAAAATTGAACATGTTCTCCTTCTTTATCAAGACCAAATGATTCCAAAAGATCACGTAATTTAACACCGGTCCAACGAGCATTTCCAATAGCTCCAACGTACCATTGCGTGCCCAGTGCTGCTCCTTGATGTTCATTATTCATCGCAGCACGACGATTTCCAGCGCATTGCACAGCTGAAGTTATGGTATGTGATTTATATTTATCGACTAAATCATCATAGGAAAGCGAACGGCTGGATTTTTCATTGCGAATTTCTAATTTGAATTCATTAATATTAACAACTGGCACATGCATATGATTTCGTACATAGAAGTTTTCAACGGATGTTAAAAATGATGAAACAAGTAGATTAGGTTTTGTTTCAGCATTAAACGGTCGTTGTGATCGAATGAAAAATGTTTCGTTGGCATTGACACGCTCTGGATCATATTGGAATAGATCGAGAACTGTCTCTTGATGTTTTTCATTCGCTTCTCTTTCACCTAGAAAAAAAATCTGTTAAAGTTTGTTTTTTTCTCTTTTTCTAAATACCCTTTGGTAGATTGCCTATTCGATACTGTTCTAAGGTTTCATAGACATGATCAATTTGATGGATCGTAAATATTTTCCAACAAGATTCAAGAGCTTTACCAGCAGTTTTTAGTATTTGTTTGCCACCTGGATGATTTTCAACAAATGAGCTTACATCGTATACACCATCTTTATAGGCAAGCCAATAACCTAGAGAATGGAACCGTTGCATAGAATTCGTTTTGTACTGAAAAACAATTCGCTCAACTCTACATGGAATATTTAAAAAATTATATTGATTGTTTTTGTGTGCACATTCTGATTTTCATCTACCAGAAGGACATGAAAGAACTCGATGATTAAATACTTTTTATTTTGAGACACCTACATGGAAATAGATAGCCTTTGAAAAAAGATTACGATTCGATGGAAACGTTTAACAGAAATTTCGAAGTCACTTATATTGATAAGATTCTTGCCTGAAGGTTTCGCATGCAAGGTAACTATGGACTATCGCTGTCAAAGTGTGTTGTTTTTTTTATTCGGAAATAGGAGGCGTCCCTAATGGCGAACCAGCGTTGTATTAATAAAACAAATGTGAAAACTTTGGATTTCATCCGAAAGCTATGTGTACTGCAAAAAGTACATGGGACATATGAGTCATTCTAGAATGTCTGAACACCAAAATTACCATGAGAAACTAGGCACTTTGGTTTCTGGATGCAGTTTTTGTGCAATTTGAGACCGTTTTCAGGCGATGTTTCGTTAGAAAGCTACGATTTAGTTCAAAACTAGTATCAGATTCGGAATCAGCGCTAAAAACTGAGTCGATTTATATATGTTGTGAATAATTCTGAGAAAAATTTGTTTTTTGAAAAAAAATCCCTGTACCCCTCCTCAGGGATGGTCTAGTCAAAAATGACAATTTTTTCGATAACTCAACCATTTCTTGAGGAATCCTTCTCATCTTCGAACTCGACCGAGATATTCATGAGATTGAACTGTGTGGAAAATTTCATCACGATCTGACTCTCATTTCGAAAGTTATCGTGTCTATGGCCGGCCGGACGGACACTCTGACCGATTCTAAAGTGTACTCACTTTTTGAGTACACAAAAAATGGCAAACTTTTCTTATAAAATTACTCTCGGTAAACTCAAGCAGATTTATTTTACTCACACGACGCCTACTATTTTAAATAGTTAGTTTTTATCCTTATCAAGTTGAAATTTATACCATGCATTAGCACATGTTTTTTTTACTTTATACAAAATATCGATTTATTCGTTTCTATGATACATTTTTTTTCACCTAAAATTTGATTTTTAATAAAGAATTTGATTCAAACAGAGCGATGCTTTTTTGACCTTCAGCAAATAGTAGACATTAAAAATCAACACTCTAAAACTGTATCGAACTACTTTTAGACAAATAATACGAAATCTGAATATGTGGATAAGAGTCAATATTGATTCTTTCCGTAATAGCTTAACAATGGGATTCTCGATGAATTCCAGGACACAACCCTTTCTTTTAACCTTTATCAAGTAAAACGTGTCTATATTTTATGTTCTTAATACCGCTTTCTTTCGTTGTATGTTTGGCAACTTCGGACATGCTGTAAATTGGTAGACTTGGCATTCTTTCTCCAATAATAACATTTGCATGTGTATTTGCATGAACGGTTGATTTATATTTTGAAAATAAATAACCTCAGCAAAGAAAAAAAAATAAAAATAAATCTATGTTTATTAATTTTCTATCTATGTATATACCTGTAACTAATCCAGTTGTTATTCCGGTTGTAATTATATGAGGTCTAAAGCTTTGACGAAAAATAACGGCTAACCGCGATCGCATTTTGTTTTTACTAATTACGACCCGTGTTGTACCTAATTAACTTCGCGCAACACCATCTTTGGTATTTTAAATGATTGATCAATAGTAACAACCAATGAAATGCATGATCGTTTTTACAGTACAAAATCAATGATTCGATTCGGTAGTTGTCCGTCCGGAGTATGTAATTCATTTTTGATAGTGTTATGTATGCGCCCCCAATGAGTTTAAATGAAGTACCTACAGAAAAACCCAATGCTTTACTATCAGCTGATCGAATTTTTCGTGAGGTTCCTCAAGGTTTACAGCATTCCATGGCGATTGTATATTTAATTATTTGGTATATTTCATCGGGTGCTACACTCTTTTCAAATAAATATATTCTTAACATTTTTGAAGGTGATGCTTTTTCGTTAGGTAACAAAAACTTGTATTATTCAATAGGTCATGTCCATATATATTTGTTTTCTCTCTAGCCATGAATCAACTTATTTTGTCAATTTTAACTAGTTTTATACAAATGCAAATAATAAATAAATTATCACCACAGATACATAAAACTTCGCCCAGTATAAAAAATATTTTTCAAGATATGATATTTATTGGAGCATTCCGCTGTAGTACAGTTGTATTAGGTTTATTAGCCATAAAATATATTGTTGTTTCGTTTGTTGCAACAATTAAAGCGTCATCGCCTTTATTTACAGTGATCATTAGTCGAATTGTACTTGGAGAAAAAACTGGCCATTGGACAAAATTTTCCATGATACCAATTACCATCGGGCTTTCTCTTTGTAGCTCATTTGAATTAAGTTTTAATATCATAGGCTTTTTATGCGCATTGGGTACAAATTTTTTCGAATGGTAAGATGATGAAAAAGTAAAATTCACATATTATCAGTTTTCTTTTTCTTTTCAAGTTTGCAAAATGTATATTCAAAAGTATTAATCAGCGGTGACCGTCATCGTTACACAGCTATTGAATTACAATTCTGGGCGAGTTTGATGGCTTGTGTTTTTCAACTACCTATACTGCTCTACAATGTCGATGTTCTATCAGCGATGGGTTCGACTTCTTTATCACTTTTCCTAATCTACGTTTTAAACGGTATATCTTACCATATTCAGGCGTTTTCAGCCTACGCTGTTATGGCTTATATATCACCCATAACACATAGGTACAGCTCTAGATTTAGTCAAAATACTGAATCTATACATTGTTGTTTGTTTAGTGTTGCTAATACTGTGAAACGAGCTTTGCTGATTTGGTTGTCGGTACTGATTTTTAAAAATCCAGTGACTTTTCTTAGTGGTTTCGGCACATTAATAGTTATATTTGGTGTTATAATGTATAATGAAGCACGTGATATGGATAAAAAACCTGGCATTTCAAGTAATTTAGTAAACGATAATAGTCCAATAATAACTACACGACGAGACGTGTAAATCAAAAGGCTACAGAACAAATGTTTTTTTGATACCTATCAAATCAGAGTTTTAGCATGGCAGAATCTAGCGCTTAACAGATATAATCAATCAATTGCTTTCTTTTTTGCATTTCAGCACAATTTGCATGTCTGTGACAATTTAGTGTTTCGTTGTTTTTTTTTTGCTTGTTTTATTTGATGTTGTTACTAATTCAAATAAAGGTATGAAACTGCTTGGCTAAAACCATTTCTAGTCTATGGGATATTTTTAATCGACTAGCGTATGGATGTCGACGAAGCGAAGAAAGACGCCATCACTCGCACCCTCACGTTTCGCGATAAGTAAAACGAATACTTCAGTAGATGTTACAAAATAAAACTAACGGATTTTAGGCATACACAATTTCATACTTCATCCATTGTTCTATCACTCATGATCGAAACAGCTGGAGGTATTTTAATAACTAGATTCCAAGGGTTTTTTTTACTCAATTATTCAGCAACGAAAAACTACGATCAGTTGACGTTCTAATAGTCAAAACACTCCTTTACAAAAACAACAGCACAACTTCATAAGAAAATGGTCTCGGTCACAACCTAGATCTTTCGAACTCTGTGCGATGCAAAACAAAAGAATATGTTTTGCCTATTTATTTGCAGATCTTATTTCTGTTTAAGGAGACGATGAAACAAAAGTCGCCATGAAAAATCAAGGTAACAACGATGACTAGAATAAATTTCTTCATGAAGTTCGCTTTCTGTCTAGACTGGTTATCATATGAAAAGATGCAGCATCTTCTTTTGATCGATATCCCAATAAATTTAAGAAGCACAACAAAAATGAACCCTGGATTTTTGTTTTTGTTTGCTTTATTTCAATTGCAACAGAAAGTCGAATTTTTGTTTAGATATTTCTTATCACTGACTCATAAATTGAGAAACGGTTTACTCAATATTATATTTTTATTAACTATTCTGAGGATTTATCGTATAGAATATTTCAGAAACACATGAAATCGCCACGTCATTATCTTTACACCGCAGTATTGCAGCACACAATGTCAAGCACGGCTTTTGCGTTCTTCTCTAATTCTCTCTCTACAACCCTTCGTTTCTTTCTTTCTCCTTATTTACCACATGAATCAACCTCAGTCGACTCTTATTGCGAGTTAGTCGCGCAAAACTTGACGTTTACTAATATTCATGTCATTTCACAATCGAATTGAAAAATGTTGTTTTTTTTTATTTCTCTCGCATGTAACCCCTTTATAGCGTAGTTTTTTTTTCAACGGATACTAGCATACATAAAAGCACTCCTTATTCTTACAGATTTGTCGTTTTTTGTTCTTTTTTGGATAAGAAAATCTATCGATGACTGATTCGAAAACTACCGGTGGTAAGTTGCATGATGAATCTGTTGTTGTTCTAAATATCGACGATGGTACTCTATTTAGTATACCGAATTCCTCCTTTCTACTATTTGCATGTTCTCGATCAGAACACAAATGTAACTCGACTTGAAGTAGGTCCTAAAACTTTTGTTAAACAAGATCATGAAAAAGTTTTACTCGGACCTGAAGGCATGTTAATTATTCCGTGCGTTTACTTATTGCTTGTGTTTTCGTGAAATAAAAATTGTTTTCGTTCATAGTCCACGGCATTATGCTGTTATTGAGAATCCAGCAGTTCGAGATAAAAATGGCCAAGTTGTTATAGATGCTAATGGTCAAGTTAAATTATTGCATTCCGATGTTGATATTCGTTTTGCACAGGAACCATTTCCGCTTTACCCGGGAGAAACTCTCAAACAAAATGTTACACCATTGAAAGTTATTGAACCAAATTGCGCACTACGTCTTCGCGCAGTTCTTGACTTCACCAATGATCACAGTGAACTAGTCCGAGCTGGAGACGAATTTCTTTTCCAGGGACCTGGTACGAAACGATGAGATTTTAGCGGATAACTAGAAAATTTTATGTTTTGGCGTTTAGGCACTTATTTCCCACGTAAAGAAGTTAGCGTAGAAGAACAAATTAAAGCTGTTATTCTTAAACCAAATGAAGCCGTTCGTTTACGTGCTAAGAAAGAAATGACAGATCGAAGTGGTGTAGCACGAGAAACCGGCGAAGAATGGCTTAACCGAACCGTCGGTTCATATTTACCATTGGCCTATGAAGAAGTTGTTTCGACTGTCAAAGCCTATGTACTTACGGATAAAGTATGATTTTTTGATTCTGTACAGCATCCTTAATATTCTATTATATATTTCTTTTTCAGAAAGCTCTTCATGTTCGCGCTTTACGTACGTTCACTGATCTGTTCAAACGCAAGCGTCTCCATGGTGAAGAATGGTTAGTCTATGCAAGTGATAGTGAAACCTATATTCCTGATGTTTATGAAGAAGTGTGTTTGTCTTGTGTTTTCTTCGATGCAAAGGAAATATCACTTCTTTTTTGTAGGTTGTCGGCGTTGTGGCAGTGACAGTATTGAACTCTCGTCAATATTGTGTTATTGTGGATCCAGTTGATGCCGATGGTAAACTTCAACTTGGAAGAAAAAAACTAATTAAAGTATGAGAAACAAGACAATTGCATTTATCAATTGTAAGTAACTATTTAAAAATTTTCTATTTTTCAGGGTGAAAAAACATTCTTTCTTCAACCTGGTGAAAAATTAGCAAATGGTATTCAAGATGTTTACGTACTTGAAGAAGACGAAGGTCTTATTCTTCGTTGTACCGAATCGTTTAAAGAAGACGACGTAAGTTTGCGCTTTTGTTTATGAATAATAGAAAATAACGACGATCTCTATCAATAGAAAGTCTTACGAAACCCTGGTGATCGTTGGATGGTTCGAGGACCTAAAGATTATATACCGGCTGTTGAAGCCGAGGTTGTACTTCGACGTAAAGCAATTCCATTGGATGTTAACGAAGGAATCTATGTTCGTGATGTTAAAAGTGGTAAAGTCCGTTCCGTCATTGGCACAACATATCTATTAACTGAAAATGAAGAACTTTGGGAGAAAGATTTACCAGCACAAGTCGAGCAATTACTTGTTTTAGACGCTCGACACTTCGAAGATAAATCGGGTGCATCAGCTGTTGTTCCCCCAAGAAATAAATCAAAAGTTGTTAGCTACCGTGTACCACACAATGCTGCTGTACAAATCTATGACTTTAAATCTAAAAAGGCCCGCATTGTCTTTGGCCCTGAACTCGTTATTCTTGGCCCTGATGAACAATTTACAGTTTTGAATTTATCCGGTGAAAAACCTAAAGTCCCAAACAAAATTCGAGCAATCTGTCTTCTATTGGGACCAGAATTCTCAAGTGATATTGTTACAATTGAATCAAGTGATCATGCTCGTCTTTCACTTAGACTTTCATATAATTGGCATTTTGAAGTAAGAACCATTGAGGTCTTTTTTTTTATTAAAAAGTAAACCGTTCTATGTTCAGGTCAGTGATCGTGAAGATAGCAAAGAAGTTGCAAAACTCTTTTCGGTTCCAGATTTCATTGGAGACTTTTGCAAGGCTGTTGCTGCGAAGATTCGTGGTGCCGTTGCTGGCATTTCATTCGATGATTTTCATAAGAATTCAGCAAAAATTATTCGCGCATCAGTCTTTGGTCTTGATGAAAACAAACGAGTTAACAGACGTCTCGTATTTCCACAAAATAACTTGGTTTTAACTTCGATTGATATTCAAAGTGTCGAGCCTGTTGATCAACGGACACGTGATGCACTTCAAAAGAGTGTTCAATTAGCTATTGAGGTAAGATCAGCGTAATTGGCATCATTCATTTCAATGAATTTTGTTTCGTTAGATTACAACAAATTCTCAAGAAGCTCAAGCAAAGTAAACATCATTGATGAATTCGAATTGAATTTTTTCAATATTTCTGTTTATAGACATACGGCTTCGCGTACAGAACAAGAAGCGAAAGGTCATTTAGAAAGACAAAAGATTGCTGATGAAGCTGAAGGTAAAATAATAATTGATTAGCACTTTTGTAAACAAAGATTTTCATACGTTTTGTTTTTGTTTGTAGCCGAAAGAGAACGTCGAAAACTATTACAACTGCAAGCTGAGTCGTCAGCCGTTGAATCAACTGGTCAAGCTAAAGCTGAAGCTCAATCGCGCGCAGAAGCTGCTAAAATTGAGGGTTCAGCTGCTGTTGATCAAGGTAAACACTCTTATCTCGATATGATTCTTGATTTCATTACATAGGCATTTTGTTCTTCTAGCTAAACTTCGTGCCGAAGCAACAAAAATTGAATCCGATAGTGAACTTCAACGTTTAACACAAGCACGAGAACTTGAATTAGCATATGCAAAATTATCAGCTGATTTAGAAATTGAAAAAACGAAACGATTAGCTGATATTGAAATTCAAGAATTTAAAGAACACATCAATTCTATTGGATCAAAAACAATCCAAGCTATTGCTACTAGCGGACCCGATAATCAAGTAAGATTTTTCATAATTGTATTTTGTGTACGTCATCATTAACGAAAAACGTCGTCTTATTAGGTTAAACTTCTTCAAGCTCTTGGCATCAAATCTACATTGATTACTGACGGACGTAGTCCAATCAATCTTTTCAATACAGCTGTTGATTTGGTCGGAGCAGGAGCCCCACAACAACATTGAGCGTTCATTCATACAACATATTAATACAGTGTTGATGTGGTGCAGTCAGATTTTATCGAAAAAGCGAACTTTTACCGATGACATTCATTTCTTTTTATGTATTTGTGTAACCTATAGAATCTTTTTTTTTCTATCACAATTATCAAAAATAAAATATTAGTATACTTCGAAAAATTATTTGATTTATTATTCAGACGCTTGCTGAAACGAAAAAATTCAAGGTGAATTACCATGAGTTTTGTTTTCAATCATTACCGAGTAATATAAGAAGCTGCCAATAGTCGAGTAAAATAATGCACAGAAACGAAATTGCAGTAAGAAGAAAAGCAAGCAAAAAATAAATGTCCTTGAATTTATGCACAGAACGAAATCGTCAATTAATCGAGTGAAATTACTTATTATATAAAAGACAATAATTGTTGGCCTAGCTAAAGATTGAATTGATTGGCGGTCTCTGCAGAAAAGCATTTCAATGCAATCAATATCATGCCGAAGTATGAAAACAGGAGGTTCTGTTATCTGTAGATCGAAAACAATACTCTGTGCACCGTCCGTAGAAATGATGTTTCTCAAGCGAGAAGAAACTTTTCCACATGAAATTCGATGAATAACTAGAGACTCTACGATTTTACCCATGAAATTTTGCGAAATGGCAAGCTTTTCAAGTTCGATATATCTCCGACGGCAATGACATTATAGTCAGACATTCGTTACGCTTAAAAGTAAACAGTAGAGAGTCGTACAAAAAGAATTGCAACTACTTTTTTTTCTTATTTTACCTTTATTATTCTTACATATACGTATTATTTAATAAGAAATCAAACTAAGTGTATATAATATAAAGTTCAACATACAGCGACGACAGACAGAAAAAGAAATATTTTAAATCTTATATCTATTCATGTTCGTCGACATGGTAATTGCTCGAAGCTGCAGTCAATGTACGTGGTTTTTGATTCGTATTTCCGGTCATACCGCCTAGAAGACCTTGTCCGAATCCCATAAGATTGATTGGTGAATGGCCATCGGTAACCAACATTGATTGAAGACCAAGTGCTTGTAAAAGTTTAACTTGTGTATCTGGACCAGACGTAGCAATAGCTTGTATGGTTGATGCGCCAATCGATTCAACTTGCAATTTGAATTTATCGGTTTCAATTCTTGACATTTCAGCTTTTTTCGTGATTTCTAATTCATTTTGTTCACGTAAATATTTGATTTCAGCTTCGCGTGCTAATTTCAAACGTTCCAATTCAGCCTCCGCTTCAATACGTGTCGCATCGGCTTTGAGACGAGCTAATCAAAAGAAAGAAAAAAACCAAAAGTTCATTATTTAAACACTTCGATTTAATTTTTACCTTGTTCAACGGCAGCTTTGCCTTCAATGAGAGCTGATTCAGCTCGACTTTGTGCTTCAGCTTTAGCATGACCGCTGACTTCAACAGCAGCTGATTCAGCTTGTAATTCAAGAAGTTGTCGTCGAACTTCTTCAGCTTCAGCTTCATCTTTTATGCGTTGACGTTCGAGTAAACCTTTCGCTTCTTGTTCTCGACGGGACGCTTCATGTTTAGCTGCAGCTTCTTGTGAATTTGTTGTAATCTAAAAAATCAAAAAGCTCATTGATACGGATGATCTCAATTACGTTTATCTTACTTCAATAGCTAATTGAACACTCTTCTGAAGTGCATCACGTGTTCGTTGATCAACAGGTTCGACACTTTGAATATCAATCGATGTAATAACGAGATTATTTTGCGGGAAAATGAATTCATCTCGTGTACGTTGATTCGCATCAAGGCCAAATACAGCTGCACGAATAATATGAGCTGAATTCTTATGGAAATCATCGAATTGAGTTCCAGCAACAGCACCTCGAATACGCGATGCAATAGCTTTAGCTGCATCGCCAACAAAATCGGGTACTGAAAAAAGTTTAGCAGCTTCTTTTTCATCTTTAGTGTCGTTAACATTGAAATGCCAGTCTAAAGAAAAAAATAGAGAATTAAAAAAATTTTTTTTTTTTTTGAAATTTATCAATTTACTGTAAGATAATTGAAGTGAAAGACGAGCATGATCGGCTGTTTCAATAACAATAACATCGGTAAAGAAATCAGGACCAAGAAGTAAACAGAGTGTTTGAATTTGGTTTGGTTTTTTTGGTACAGAACCACTCAATGAAAGTAATGTAAAATGTTCTTCTGGGCCAAGCATAACAAGTTCAGGACCAAAGATAATACGTGCTTTTTTAGCCTTATAATCATAAATCTGTACAGCGGCATTGTGTGGCACACGATACGCAACTAATTTCGATTTATCACGTTGAGTTGCGCTTGCTTTTGAACTTGTTTGTGTTGTCGTAGTTGCTTGTTGTTGAGTTTTATCTGCACCTTGATTACGTGTTGGAACATTTCGTTCGGCTAGCGGGTCACGAGAAAGTAATTCTTCAACTTGTTTAGGTAATTCCTTTTGCCAGAGTTCTTCATTTTGTGTGAGCATATAAGTTTCACCAACAACAGCTCGTACACGACCGGTTTTGATATCACGAACATAGATACCTTCGTTTTCATCTAAAGGCATTGCTTTCCGACGTGTAACAACTTCAACTTGTGTCGGAGGAATATATTCACTAGAGCGAGAAAAAAATTAAAATTTTCAAACTGAAACACAATGAATCGATTTCTTACTTTGGCCCGCGAATCATCCATCTGTCACCGGGATTTCTTTCAACACAAGCTTGTTCATCGGTAAATGCTTCGATACATTTAAGAATAACACCTTCATCTTCACCCAATATATACACATCTTGAATACCATTTTCAAGTTTTTCACCCGGTTGAAGAAAGAATGATTTTTCACCAACAATAAGTCTCTATTAGAAACAACAAATGATAACTTAGACAAAAATAATACTACCACAAACCTTTTTTCCCAATTGCGGTTTTCCGTCTTGAACTGGATCAAGAACAACGCAATATTGCCGTGAATTAAGTGTTATTACACCAACTAAAGCCACTAACTCTTCATAAACATTGAGTGTATGACTTTCAGTATCTTTGAGAGTTACAAGCCATTCTTCTCCATTCATACGATTTTTACCAAAATCATCCGTAAATGTTTTCAGAGCACGAAGATGTAATGCTTTTTTATCTGTTAATACATGAGCATTTTCAACCGACATAACAGTTTCCTAGATTATGGAAATAATAGTTAGGATAAGAATTTTCAAACGTAATTTCTCTTACATAGGCAAGTGGTAGATAAGCACCGGTTTTTTTTATTAGCCATTCTTCGCCGGTGACACGTCGTTGACCTGTTCGATCGATGATTTCTTTTTTAGCACACAATCGAATCGCTTGATTCGAGTTAATGACCGTGGCACGAATTTGTTCTTCTACACTAACTTCTTTTCGTGGAATGTAAGTGCCTGGTCCTTCAAATAGCCATTCATCACCAGCGCGACGCTGTTCTTTTGCTGTATCATCGTCGAAGTCGAGTACAGCCTTTAAGCGTAAAGCTGAATTAGCTGGCACGACTTTAAGTGGCGTAACTGGCTATCAAAAACTAGATTGTAAAAATGAAAAGTAATAATATAAATTTTGCTACCTGACGAAGAACTTCGCCTGGATAAAGTGGAAACGGTGCTTGATCAGTTTGTGTAAGACGAATATCCAAATCAGCATGAACAAGTTTAGCTTGACCATTAGCATCGAATTGAACTTGTCCTGCGTCATTGCGTATGACAGGTGATTCAACGACGCAATAGTGACGCGGCCTAAATGTTATTTTTATTTTTATTTTGTTGTTTTTCGAATTAATTTACGTACGGTACTGTAATCATTTTTTCTGGTCCGACCGTAACTGTTTCATTGTCTTGTTTAATGAATGTTTTAGGACCAACTTCAAGTCGTGTGACGTTTGTATTCTGATCCAAAACATGAATATAATAGTAGGGTGGTATGCGGTACAATGGACCAGCACCACCTTTACCAGAAGATGTAGTCGATGTTGACGGATTCATGTTATTTGTCGATGATAATCTAGACGAATGTATGAGAAAATGAATGCCTACTTATAAAAAACTGAAAAACACGGGAGAGATGAACGAGATATTGCGAGAAAAGCAGTGAAATATTTTTACGCAGCAATTGTGCAATTTTACCCCTCGAAAAAAGAGAAAAAAAATCTATATTTCTCTCTTTTTACGTGCGTTACCGTTGTTATTGCACAACCCATGTGTTTAATTTTATAGCCCTTCAAGTTAATAATAACGACGACACAGCACGCAAATACACATATAAAGATGTGATGATGAGTCATCATGATAACAACATCATGAAGAAAACTGCAGTTTCAAAAACTATTCTACTATTTTGAAAATAGAACATTTATGATGAAATGTAATATGATTACTAATAAAATGTACACGTTCACTGACATAAATGACTTGATCTCGATAATATAAAAATTGTTTTTTTACCAAATATTAGCTGTTTTATTTTCTCAACCGAGGATATTCGAAAATGTCCAATCACGAATGATTTAAGTCTAGTCGATAGAATGAATGTCAAGTATTTTTTTTCCTCCTCAACGGTTAAATAATAAGAATTTCCAACATCGAATGAGATTGAGATCAAAACTATGAAATAAGTCGACTGCATAAATTTAATTTATTATGTTGCAAGATGTATGCTTTGGATTGGATTACCAAAAAACGATTTGACAGTTCTTCGAGCATCATATTGATTTTTCTCAATCTAATAAACGCCTCAATTTTCAGTATATTTCAAAAACTAGTCCGTTTAAAATTCTTACATGATATTCTCACTAAATCCGAGTTTGCAATTTCAATATTCGTCCTATCCGAACTGGATTTTAGCGTGAAAGGGGACGAAAAGCGCTTATTGAGGACAAATCCAACGCTGAATATGCATCAGAAGTCGACGGCAATCACTCCGGGCTTACCTAACATAATAATGTCGACACTTTCATATCATATCTTCTAGCCGACCATTGCTGTACAATCCTAAAATATGAATATAAGGAGCATATACATATAAAAATAAGTTTACGAACACTTGTAAAATAAAATATCCACTACATTTAACTTGCTAACTCACAGCAATGAATAGCTCAATTCATAGACCGATTTTAAAGTTCTCATTGTGTTAACACTCCTCTGCGAACTCTCACAACATTCTCTTGAACTTTGCATATGAATATCTACTTCCGACGTTATTACGAATAACTTGTACATTTCTTTGTTGTTCGCTGTTATTTGCAAAGGTCTCTAGATTTTTATTTTCGAACATATAAGTTGACAAAAAAAAAATGAAAGAAGCACACCGACAATTACACAAAAAGAAATGAGGAAATGAGCGTGATTGAACAAATAGAATAACCACACAGACGTACAAATAAACAAAGGAAAAAAAAGAATGTCTACATTTATTTTTCATAAACATCTTTTTAATCTGTTTTATTTTCTAAATACACAAGCTAGACGTTTTTTAGAAACAAACAAAGGGCAATTTTTCATTATGCGTCATTCAATATGAACTATCGCGATAATGTTTAGAAAAAACATTTTTGCTTTTTTTTTAATGAGTTCCTTTTTTTTGTAAAAGAAAATGAAAACAACAATTATGCAATTCTATGCAGCCGGTGACGTTGATGATTGTACCGAAGGCAAATCACCATGAACACGAAATCGATATACACATGTATAATTTGGATTACCCCAATTGGACGATACTCGAAGTTCAACATATTCGATTGTTTGAACATTTGCAAGCTAAATTTTTAAAGAAAAGAAAAAAAATTATTTCAAAAAAATAAATAGAAAACAAACCTGAGGTTTAAACCGTTGAAGTGATGGGCCATTTTCTGCATCATAATAATATCGACCGAGAACCGTACCTTCTTTATCATTTTTATCTTTTAACGCCTAAAAAAAGAGAAAAGAAAATATGTCAACCATTCGCCTTTCCTAACCTATCGGGAATCGTCATAGCTGATCTAAAAATGAAAAACTTTGCGTGTTTCTCAATACTCTCTAATTTCAGCATAAGCATTTAACACAAGCCGGGATTTCTTTTTCTCTTTCATAGCACTTTACTTACCTTATATAATCAAACATTCAATCAATTCATTCTAACAAGAGAACCATACAAAACTGAAAGTCATGATGAGACGACTAGAAGAAGTTTAATTTCTCTTTAATAAATCCTGCTCCTCTTTCGATAAATACACAATCATCTGCTATACAAATAATCAATTCTACATATTGCCCTTTCCTCTCATAGCTTGAGCAAAATGTCACAGGCATTCTAATGAGATTATACTTATCTGGAACCGTCATGCCTATTTAATACAAACGATATGCGTTGCATTACTCATATTGAAGTATCTAGCTATGTATGACAACATGTCTGCATATCCTGTCGACTTCAATCTATAGTCACTACTTTGTCTATAAATACTCAGTAAATATATATATATATATATATATATCAATTATTGTTAAATTTAACATGTTTACTGAATTTCGACTTACATAAACAGTAAAATTATTTGGTGCACTATTAATATGTCCAACAACTGAAATACTTTTCGGTAAATGTTCGAGTACAAATTCAGTTGGTTTAACTGGTACAGCTAATTTAATAATAACACTTCCTTGATCACCTTTAAATGGAAAACATTGACCAGGCATACGACCAGCCTAAAGAAAACAAATATTTACAATATAATTAAAACACCTACAATGCAACAAAACATACTTTAATCATAATATCTGGTTGTTTTGACATATGCACTATTGGAATACCAAGAAATTTAACAACATTTTGACGTGGTTCATCTGTATATTCAGTACATCTTGTATCAACAATTTTTCCGCCTAGAGAATAAAATTGTTTTATTAGCTATTTACTTTTATTTTCAATATTATTTACCATTAGCTTCAAGGGCATAATCAGCTTGGCCAGTTTCATCCGCAGAATATTCAACAAGTAATTGTCGAACAAGCTAAATAAATAGAAATTGGAATTTAATAAAACTTCTAAGATAATTTTACTACGTACGGCTTCTAATTCTTGCTGTTGATCAGGTTTTAATGCATTTCGACTGCCAAAAAATTTATCTTTTTCACGTTTAAATTCTTCGATTAAATCGTTAACTTTTTGAACACTAGCATCGAAATTTTCTTTTGCATTTTCTTTTGTTGTTCCAACAATACTCGTCACACTACGTTTGATTCTGATATATTGTCGATAAAATCCTTTTCTAGTATTAGAATAAATACCAACCAAGAAGTTAATTATGGACTTTTGGACATTAACAAGTGATTGATAGAATTTTTTAAAACAATCAATGCTACATTTAAATGTATTTTCTCGGAGAAAAGTTGTGGATTTATCTATTTGTGTATTTCTATATTTTTGAAATGCACGACATTGTTGATAAGCTTTGGATTGAGGATAATGTTCCAATGATTTGCATGCCAAATTAGGAACTAAAAAAAAAAAAGAATCCATGAGTCACACCTCAAAGGTCTTTCTGTACATATTTATTAAACACACAAGAAGTCTCTACATAATATGTAACAAACGAGTAGAATTACTTACGGAAGTAAATGCCAAGCAAGAAAAGAAGTGGAATGAGTAACCACCATGGTAAACTAAATAGTGTACTGCATAGAAACTTGAATAGTTTAATTGGTAGAAGGATAAGATTTTTTGTTAAATTAAAAAATTCATTTTCTTGCTGTTCTTCAGGTTTTTCATCTATGATTTCTTTATCTTCGCTAGGCGTTTCTTCTTGGCCATCTTGACTTTTACGGTCTTTACGTTGTTTAGTTGTTTTACGTTCTTCTAATTGTTCGCTCTCAATGTCACGTGGTGTTGAATGAACAGGAGCACGTCGACGAAGATTATAACCTGTTGTTTGACCGTTAACCGATGATTGAGACGATGTACGAGAAAATCTTGTTGTACGTTGAGTTGATGGCGAATTGAGAAGTGTTGGTGCCGTTTCTGTTTCTAATTCTTGATGTGTATGATGTGTTAAACGATCACGAATAGCTGAATAACCGTTAGCTAGGTGTGAACGAACATTTGAAATAAATCGTGTTGGTGATGAAAACAACGAATTTGTTGATGTAAAACTTGATGAGCTGTATGAACGGCCTTCACCATGCAAATCACGACGAGCCATAACTGGAAAGCTATAAGCACCATGATCCGTCACAGGTATATAAGACACACTAAATTAAATAAAAACAATTTTAAATGATAACGATCTTTTTATGCATTTGTATTATTATCATTTTCAGTTGCTAAATAACCGAACTATACGATAGAATATGAAGGATAAAATCACTCTCAAGTGCACTCATCGAATACGAAAGATCACACTCAGTATCGCTACTCTGATGTGATCAAAAGCAAGTAATTGACAACGGATTATTTCTTCGCTACTCTGATCAATCGAGACAAAATACGAAACGACTCAATTACATGCTTGATAATTATAACCTATACTTTCTCGTTGATCAAATTTTCAGGTTCGATACATAATGTAGACCTTCAGATATATCAGTGGTTTCGATTCCACCATAGAAAAGTAAAACTCCTTTAGGGAAAACCTAAGAATCAGTTTAATAGAGTTCTATAGAAAAAGGAAGCTTCATTTGCTCATTATAACCTCACTATCGAGACCTTCGAATACGCACTCGAAAAGCATTCATCATTCGCTCTCGTAAATCAAGCTCGTTTATTATGTAACAGCGTTAAAAAAAAACTCATATCGCTTATACTTTTGGAGGTTATAAATTTTAACTACTCCTTTTTCTTATCTTAATTCCATTCTTTACTAATCATACGTCTTTTTATTTTGTTTCAAAGTCATGCAACATACTTACTCATATTACAAAACAACAAAAACCACCTGAAGCCATTTAACTGCTTCAAGCTGCACAGTTACAGCCTTCATCTTGAAAATTGATTTTTTTCCTCTTTTGGTGAAATAATATTTCGTTCATGAAATAGGGTTTCACGGAATGAAGGAACGAATTTCTTTCGCAAACGCCCTAGCACACGTCTTAACACTAAGGATCAGTCTATTTACGCAATCTCAAGTGTCACTTGCTTTTATATAAATAGAAAACTGAATGAACCTATTCATTTAAATCAAACTAAAACTGAACAGTTCATTGAATATTTCAATGATAGTTTACACACAACCGTGCTTACCTGTGAGCATATGTATAAGTTGTCGGTGGGAGTCCACTGTCAAAAAAAAAGACAAACTTTACCAAAGAGAAAATTTCCAAAAAGAAAGAAATACATACTCTGTAGGTGATCTTGTATTTTCAAGTATATCATAAACACTTCGACTTCCAGTAGTTGATCCTACTCGTCGTTTGGTCATTGTATCTGTTCGTACTTCAGTTTCAATAAACATGGCTCGACGAGATGATGTTGTTACTGAAGAACTCGAGCCCGATGCTGTTGGTCTACTTGTATCAATAAGATCATCATCAATAATAATATCTGTCATAGTTGATGTTGTTTTTCCTCTTTAGTCTATTTAATAAAGAACAGATCTGAAATGAAGAATAAGTAGAAGAATAAGAAAAAAAAATATATGTATATCTCGATGCATTCTGTGTTTAACGTGACCTATGTATGAAACAAAGTCAGTCACTACTATGAACAAAGTTCGACCGACTCGATCATGACGATAGATTGAAAGCTGACGGAAAAGAACGAAAGAAAAAAAAAAGGAAAGCAAATTCTCTTCCTCGCTCTCTCTCTCTCTCTCGTTAACTAGGAAAAGAAGACATAAAACGATCATTTAGAATATCAAGCGTAGTTAATATAATTCGTGGTATTGATGAAAAATATTTTAACCATATATCAATACATTCTTTTTGCATTTGAATACGTTGTTGTTTACCGATCTTTTTCAAATAATATGGTAATAGACTTAACGGTGAATTGGAATAGATGATGATTGATTGTGACCAATTGATTATTTCGCTAAATGGCAGGATTACTGGTTCATTGTCGCTTGTTGTTATCACAGGTATACAACCGTATTGTAATACTTCAAGAAAACGATACGAATATAAACGACGTCCACTTGGTACAAGACAAAAATAAGATTGACGAAGAAGTTCAGTATATTCGTTTTGATCATAGGAACTTGTATTATCAGTATATTTGATGATAATATCATGATTATTATTTAGATGACGAAAAAATGTACGATGATGTTGAACATCTTCATAGCTTTTACCTTTAAATGAAAGTAGAATTGTTCGGGTAGACGAAAATTTATTTGTGAAATTCGATGGATAATCAGAATGAAACAATGGAAATGTTATGTGTGATAAACAATTATAGTTAGCAGTAGTAAAACTAGTTGATGCAAGAATATGATGAGATGGTAATGTGAAATCTAGGGTACGTCGATACAATGGCCATGTTCCTATAAGAGAATGGTGTAATTAATTTTCTGGTTCTTATTGAAAATGATTTCCTCATTACAGTCTATGCAAATTGAAGGGAAAAAAAATAAACTACCTGTGTAATGATTGAATATCAAATGAATTTTATTCGAATCGGACCATTCATGAAAAAAATTCAAACGCTGTTCAATAAAATATGTATAATAACCATTCTTCGATCGACGATCTCGATCGATCGTATCAACAGGTGCTATGTGTATACAAGCTGCCGTTGAATCATTAGTATAATACGATGAATTTCGAATTGTATTGAGTATAGCTGTAAAAACAGGCGAACGTACATATGATACATTCGGATATTGACTATTTTGATCAATATGTATAGAAAATTGTGTAATATTATTTGGGCATTTTAATTTTTTTGTACAATTTAAAATTGCACTGAGATTATCATCGGAAGATAATGAAAGAAATCGTTCTATATCAGATGACTCAGAAATGAGTTGAAAAATAAGTGTAAATTGTACAAAACATAGAACAAAACATATAACAATAAGAAAAGTTACCCGTTGAGAGAGATGAGAAAGTATTGAAAATGATTTTATCATTGTGCAATAACTCTTCACTCTAACAGATGTTACTAATATTTGTCGATTAACCACAGAAAATGACAGACAAAGTAAATGCCAACCAATTCTCACTTTGAGGTTTGTCCTCTAGCGTCTGAATGCATTTATGCGAAGTTAGCGGTTACTGACAACTAGCGACCTCACTAAATCAGACAAATAAAACAGAAATCAAGTTTTTTGGAATTTATTATTAAGAATCAATGGCGAAAAATAAAAAAAAACAGAGAAAATGTTAATTATAAGTTATATCTGATCCGCTGGGAGCAATTAATTTTTTTTGAAGTATACAGACTTTGTACTTTGTTTTTGTATCAGAACGTTGAGTCATTCATATGTGACATAAATCTTAAGCATATATCAATTATGCAAAGAGGATCGTCTGAAAAAACGTGAAATTTTTTCTTGCATCATAATGCAATCGAATGCACAAGGTCGTCGGCTGGTAAGTAGAAACCTAATGTAGATCATTGAAGTATGCTGTTTTGGAATATATATTTAAATTAAAAGAATTATTTCATTTATTTGGATTGGTGAGAAATAGACCACTTATAAAAAGAATGAGAAACTGATTGGAAAATATTCAATATTTAAATCCATAATCCACTGTAGAATTATCTATTTATTGGTATTAAATGCATTAATCCAGAAAGAAAAGTGATGATATTATTGCTAAATCAGAATATCGACTATGTTCATCCTATGAAATAGTTTTAATTGAACATTCTTAAAGTAATGTCAAGGTTAAATTTGAAGAACGGTCGATGTAACTTGAATAATTCAGGTGCAAATAGCTGCCAATAATCATGCAAGAAAAATTGATCGAATAAATACGAAATTATGTTTGCTTAATATCGCCACTTGGACGATAGATATTTGTAACGCTTTACTCGAAATAGGACACCGTTTTTATTCATGATTGACTTGCGGAATAATTTTGTTGAATTCGAGTCACGGACAAAAGATGTCCGGAATTTTGCTTCTGATTGATGATCATCAACGAATGCTTTTGTCGAGTGATAGAGTCGTTATCCACTTTCCTCTTAATTCTTGGACAGACAGACAGACAGACAGACATACATATTCTATTATGAATTGCAATACAAACTGATTAAAGTTTCTATTTAATAGAAAGATGAATTGATCAGCAGGAGGTCTTTTGTGGCATTCGGCACATCGTATCTCCTAAGGAGGTATTCTATTGTTTGAATTTTAATAGAAAGAAATCTAGCTTGAGTCAAAAAGTGTGATGATATTATATTAAAATTGATTCTAATGGGAGAATTGGAGTGAGATGAAAACGAGAAAAACTGCTTTTCGTCCTAGAACACGCCTACGTCATTTACTGATACCTTGAAAATAGAATCATTACACATAAAAACCAATGCAGCTTAAATCGGGTTTCTGAGTGAGCTAAAGGAGCTATTGCTTCATAACTTATCTATAATCTATTGAACACTTTCTTGTCGATAATCTCGCAAGATAATAATCACATAGTCGATTTCTGTGCTTATTCCATGATGCAAAATTTTAATTACTAAGATATTACTAAAGTAGTCTAGATGAGTCTGAAATCCTTTGGCGAGGGTTGTATTTTCTCTAGTTCAGTGACTAAACGTGACTGTAATCAAACACAAACTGGAAGATTAACAAGATAATTAATTTTGAATTTTTTGTTTTTAGCGTAAGCGTGTCAAGAAGCATTACGTAGACGATGATGATGATGATTTCTTTGAAGAAGTTTTTGAAAGACCTCAAAGATGGCAGATTGCAGATAAATTAAGCGCTCCAGATAATTATCAAGGCAAATTTGTCGAAGAACTCACAGCTAATGGTTTGTATTTGTTCACAATTTTACTGTAGATATTTATAGATGGAATCCGTTTTCAATTAGACCGATGCTTTAGAAAGTTGTATTCAAAATTTTGTACTTGCTAATAAGCTCTGTTGACTTGAGGATTTCAAAAGAGTTTCTAAAAATTAGAATTTTTTCGATAACTTGGAAACGACGTTTAAATAAGTTGCATAATAGAAATATATCGGATCAGAAGTAAGTACGTTTCCCTTCCTTTAAATCCTACGAGTGCATCGTATACGAGAACCATTCATAGTAGCAGCTGTAGTTGAAATCACATTTTCGCATTGCAATCCTTCCAGTAGGACACATTCTTCTCAGACGTATGGACATGTACGAGATCTTATCTCATGTACTTTTCGGTAGGTAAGGCTTCCTCCAGTCCGCTATTCTTTTGCATGTAGAAAAGCAATATACCGTAAACAATATTCAGACAAATCTTTTTTTCTATGAACTTAGAATTCAATTTATCCTATGTTCAACGTACCGGTTTTCCGAATCCGATTGTGATAAAACAGCATCGTGGATTAGGTCTTCGTGTGCCAACATCAAAGTTTACCGTTCACGATGTTCGTACATGTGTCGGTTCTCAACGTCTTATCGACGTTGTTCATGTTGATACTCAACAATCATCTCAAATGACAATGAAATCTTGGACAGATTATTATGATCAACCATCAGAAAAGCGTACTCAATTATTAAATGTTATTTCACTTGAATTTAGTCATACAAAACTTGAACAATATGTTGAATCACCGTCTATTGTAAATTAGAGTTGAATTTTCAGTTTTTTTCTCAATGATTTATTTCTTTAGGTGCGCGAAATAGATTGGGTATCAAATGCTTGGCCTCACGATTGGCAAGAGATTCAAGCTGAATATCAACATAATCTCAAGCAAGCACATATGTATTATCCAAAAACTCGAAAGTAAAATAAAAATCGATTTTGAAAAAAAAGGAGCTGAAATTCAATATTTATTTTTCAGATATGCTCTCATGTCAGTTGCGAAATGTTTTACTGACTTTCATATTGATATGGGTAATAATGAGGGGAGGGGGGGGGGTTGACTGAAATAAATAAATCAACTTTAATTATTTGTTCTGTTAAGGCGGATCTTCGGTTTGGTATCATTTACTTAAAGGAAAGAAAGTCTTCTGGTTAATTCCACCAACTGAATCTTATTTACGTTTATATGAAGAGTGGATTTTATCTCGACAACAAAATGAATGTTTTTTTGCTGATTTATGTGCTTCAAAAGATTGCCAAATGATTGTTCTCGAACCTGATTGGACATTTTTTTTGCCCTCAGGTTGGATTCATGCTGTATATACAATGGAAGATTCTCTTGTTTTCGGTGGAAATTTCTTAAATTCTTTTAAGATTCCAATGCAAATACAAGTTTGGATGATTGAAAGAAAAGCTCGAATACCCGATCGATTTCGATATCCGTATTTTATTGAAACTATGTGGTATGTCATTGAACGTTATGTACAGTGTCTAACTGGTATGACATATATTTTGGATGATTGGTAAGCATTCGCTGAAGTTATTTAATAGGAAAAAAATAAGCATATTGAATTTGTAAGATCGACGATGATGTAGTAAAAATTTTCAGCGATCGAATAAATCTTGTTTCGAAAAACTCGAACTGCGACGATTCTTCTGTATGTGCGGTACTACTGGTTGAAATTCCAGTAAAATGCTTACAACACTGATCAGAAGACCCACGGAGATTTTTCATGCGTCACCGGACTCTACCTTATGAAAAAAGCTCGAACTCAAAAGCTGTTGGACATTTGAAAACGTTTCCTCTTGAGAATAGCGGCGCTTTTGTAATATGAGTGTCGAAAGGTAGGAATTTTCACCATTTCCTGTGACTCACATTGTTTATTTAACAGAAATGACGTTTGGTTATAATATATGAGCGACTTCCTTATTGCATCCATGGAGAATAGAGTGACAGCAAAGCGAAGAAATGTGTCCCAAGATAGATAGAATAAAACGATGTCTCTGTGATTAGCATCAACAACTACATTGTGTTTCACATTCTAATTCAACAGGAATTGTGCTAACAGATTTTTCATTGGGGACAGTATCAGTTATAGTCATGTTAAACTTGTTTCGAACGGCGTATTTCTCATGAGTCATAGACTTCAAATAGATATGAACAGGTGCGAGCCTTTTTTCGAGAACTACCTTCAGCTATCAGAATTTTTCTTCATTCTCACACTAGAAAGTGCTTTGTGTTTTTCATCGAAACTTCGCTCTCCCATGACTGTTGAGTTTTCTTAAAGCTGTTCTTTCAAGAGAAATTTCAGTTAAATTTTATTAAGAAAAAGAACAGCTCGTATCATGCGCGCATCCTCATATGAACAATTCAACAGAACTGAATAATAAATTCATCGTAACATCTAGACAATCTGCCATTCTCAGTCATATCACTTTGTTTTTAAACTACAATTGACTTTATTGTTTTTGTTGAAAACGAAAATCAGCACGATATCTGAAAAGAGAAAATATAATAATGGAAGATTTGTACCTCGATCTTGAATTGCGCTAAATTTTAACTATTTTTAGGATATGAAATATTTCAAAAAAAACATCGTCTGTTGACTCGAGTCATTACGTCAGAAACGTTTTTTTCTAATATTTTGAGTTTATTTTATATGAAGACAATTAATAATTGTTAAAAGATTTTATTAATACAAGGATAATTGCCTTGGTCGATGAAATAATCCAGAGGCAAATATTTTCATAAGAACATGTGTTAAAAGAACTGTTGACATTATCAAATGATTTTCTCTTTTTTTCTATAATCAAAAATAATTGTTCTTTCAGTTTGGAATATACACAGAAGCAACAAGAAATAGATGGAACAAATCCAGCAACGCCAATCGATTCTTCAGGTAAGAATACAACTTGAACAAGAAATTTCAAGGACAACTACGAAGTTGAATTTTTTGTTCTCTTGACGTAGGATTGTTTTATGCTTTTTACTTTTTGCTAAAGTTTGTTTGTTTCATTGACTTTATTAAGTAATATTAGCCATAGATAAAATCATCCAATAATATTAATAGCATCAATTACCTCCGACTCTCTTATATGCATTTTAGTTGGCCGTTTTTCTTTTTTCCCCTTCTTCTCTGTTTATTCCTATGCACACATACGTTAAAAAGATGATAATGATGTTGTTAGCAAGCCTTTTAATGTTGTATCGATTATTGATGTAGAACAGATTTTTTTTTTTTGATTTAGTCATAGGATGAGTGGGCGCAAACGAGAATTACTTATGCCAAGTACTTGATCGTTCGATCGCCGTCATCAACACTTTGATCTGTCTTGTATATATACATATATAAACTTATGAAAATGTTGCTTAATCGTTAAAAAAAATCAAACATGTTAATTCTTTGAAGACTGCAATCCGAGATAATCAAATTAGTAGTATTTTGTTCTATAGTAAATTAGGCGAAAGTTTATTTTTAACTTAGTTCAAACAAAAAGAACTAAGAAGAATATATATATATATATATATATATTTGCTTTCTTTTCTTTTCCTTTTAACGAACTCAACTGTATATTGTGAATACAAAAGTTAATCGGAAAGTATTGTTGTTCTGATTGACGAGAAAAAAGGAGAAGAAGAAAAGTTTTGACCCAAATTAGCATTGCTTTGATTTCTACAACATTTCCTTTGCTAATTTTTCCGGTATTTAATCTTTTTTAGAAAATGCATAGAAGCGAAAAAGTAAATATGAATAATAATCATAATCGAAAACAGATTTTCAACTAAATTTTATGCAAAAATTAGAGATAGGCTATATATATAAGTGAATTACAAATGAAATTGTCTTTTTGCATAATCAATGGATATATATGGAAATAGCAAAAAAAAAGAAACTGAATTTTCTCTTGAACTACGCTCTCTTATTCATCATCGGTTGTCGTTCATCGATTTCGTCAAGTGTAAGAGAGCGTACATCTTTTCTTGTCAAGCATGCTTCTTTTCTCCATGATGTCAATTATTGATTTTAAATGTCTTCCTCTTCGAATTATTCCGGAACGGATCTGCTCTTCTTCCTTTTTTATATATTCATATGTGTGTAATTCAGCAAGCGTTTGTCTTACGATAACAAACATAGAAGTATCCATGTCATTTGTCTATATGTCTATGCTGTTTTCGCTACAAAACTAAATAGATATATATATATACACGATCCTAAATGGTTAGACTATTTTGTTAAGATTCTTGGTAGAAGAAGAAAAATACTTGTTATAATATCATGTCTATTGGGTAAATAGTCCTGCAGCTATGTCGTTGTTTCAAATAGAGAGAGAGAGAGAGAGAGAGTTATTTCTGATCATGATCGTTCTTGGATAAGAGACGATGAAAACTCTAGAGGTAATGTTTGGTATTTTACATTGAGGAGCATGCAATTATTTAAGATAATCTGATAATAGTCTCGCTGGGTGTAGAACGATGAAGAAGAGAATAAGATGGTGATCATAATGATTTTTTTCCTTTTACTGTTTCCTGCATACACGAGTGCGCTTTTGCACTGTCTCAGGAGACAAATGAATAGTAAGCAAAGACGTGTTGTCGTCAGCATCTACCATCTTCACTAGGATGTTGAATGATTTGCTATGTTGATAATCACACCATTGCCATCGCCAACTTTCTCCAGAGTGAAAAAACAGATACATAGATGTATGTATGCCTATGTAAGACCATTGTTTGTGCGCAATGTGTGTATCCGATCGAATAAGTCAGATTTGGTAAGAAGCTTTTCAAGGATTTTTCTTCTTTCTATTCTTTATATTGACTAAATAAAATAAAAAAATGTATCGATTAACTTTGTGAATAATTGTCATTCAGTTGTATGAGGAGAAGAAAGAAACAAAAGAAGAGAATTTCTTTTTCTTTTATATACCGTCCATTCAACCGAAAATAATCGTCATCGAAATGCGACACTTATTTTCTTCATTCACTTTGAGAATTTTCTTTCTTTTCCTTCTTTTTTTTTGTATTTTAATTCTTATTTAGAAATCTTCTTTTAGAATTTAATGCATTTACCTTGAAAAGTAGAATATGTAAAATATGTCCCTGTTAGCAAAGTTTAATCATTATCATGTGCTCTTATTATTATTATTTGATGTTGTCATGTAGATCTGCGAGAAACCGCTTCTTTCCTTTTTCATCTCTCATCCTATATTCATTTTATTGTTCAAACACAAATACTTTGTCGTTATGATTTGTCTGGTTTATCTTATATTGACAATCTCAAGTATTGCTAAAAAGAAAAGAAAGCACAAGATAATCAACATAAATGAGAACATAGATTTTTGTTGTTAATTTTTCTTTTATATTTATATGCGTGTTTGACAAGAAAGGAAATGTTTGTATTTGCTAATTAATAAATGAAATCTTTCTGTTTCTTGGACAACCACGCACATATTTATAGGAAACTTTCACAAGTAGGCATAGGTTGCACTTGTAAATACATAAGCATAGAAAGGCCATCAATTTTAAATTCCTATTTGAAATGACAGAAGTAGCAGAAGAAGGAAAAAGAAGAGAATAATTAATGCGTACTACCGCTATTACAACCTGATCATTCGACGTTCTCATTTTCTCTCTCTCTCTATGTTCTCACTCGTCAATCACTTTCTCTCGCTTGTGCAATCACACACACACACACACACAATCATAATAATATGTTCTCGCTACACAAGGCGCGCTTATGCGTTGTTCTTTGTTCTTTGTTCAAAATTTTCCTTCCCTCTTTCCCCTATGTTATTGCTGTCTTCTGATCAATTCAAAGAAAAGAGAGAAATAGCAGAAGAAAAGAAATCTGTGTGCAAATTACTCAAATCTTTTATGAATGAGCGCATAGAGGCGAAAAAGGGAAAAACTAGTTGTTTCTATACACTCTTCGTTTTCTCTTCTTTTTCCCTCTCTCTCTCTCTCTCTTTCTGTCTCCCTTCTTGTTCATGGCTCCTATTTATTCCAACTTGTATTGGTTGTCTTGAGTTTTAGTTCTCAAAAAAAAAAAAAAAAAGAAAACAAACAATCAAATAGTATATTCACACAGGTAGAAATATATTTGTCAATCGAAGCATCTCGTTCTTTTTCTTGTAAAACATCACGTTATGTCTCTCTCTCTCTCTTTTCTTTAATATGCTCATTTATTACTTGCTACTCTCATTTGTATTTTCGAGAAGTCTATTGTTATTCTGTTCAAATGATGAACAGTAAGAAGGAAGCCGTTTTTGTTCCATTCTTCTTTCTTTCTTTTTTCATGTCTCTATTACATGGATACAATAATTTTGTCTTTAGATCTGAAACCTTGCCAAACAAGTCGATTGTTGCTAGTGAATAACAATAATAATAATAATAATAAAGACATTGAACAGCAACATCAACATTTGACTCGATTTGAACTAGACGGTCTACAAACATTATGTTCTCTCTTGCGCAAATTAAAAGAGAAGTCTGTTCCGGAAGATCTTATTCAACCGCAGCAACTATTGGAAACCATGGAGGTAAATTAAAGCGAATTGAACGATATTTGAAATTATAGAAAATGATTCAACTATCAAAATCTCTCATTGATATTGAAAATAATTTTATTTAAAAAATTTCATCAATGAAATACAGAAAAAGAAAAACGAAAGTATTGCCAATGTCTATATATCTTATCAAAAGACATTTACACAAAAAAAAAGCCATTTGACCTCTCATTCTTTTTGCTTTTCTTTTTTTGAAAAAACCTTGTATCATAACATAAATATACTCTTAATCTTTAATCTAGCGTCTTCTTATTGATCATGCTTCTGATGATTCTCAATTATCAATAACTGGTCAATCGATAATTCATTACAACTATAATCACCAATATTCATTCGATACAACTAACAATCAAGTAAGCTAAAAACAACAAAATGACACAGACACTTGTACATAAAGTCGGAGCTCTAAATAAACTATTACAAAAGTCATATTGATTCAAATATTTTCCTTTTCTTTTTCCTTTTCTTGTTCGCGTCATTTGTGACATAATTTCTACTTGATATATTTAAGAACGAAACGGAGACTTTTCAAGGCATCAAACGCAAAAATTCTGACACGAACAATATGCAACAATCATCATATCACCACCTTCATTCATCTCACCAATACGATGCACTATCAATGCAACAACCAACGACCAATGTTGTTACATTACATCCGTCAACAACTGTTCTATTGAGTGGACCATTAGCTAGTTCAAATTCATCAAATTATTATTCTCCCCCTCCACCTCCACCACCACCACCTCATCAACAACAACAACAACAACAACATTATATTAACAATTATAATCAATACACTCCAACACGATCACCGACACAACAACATTATCCAGCAGATAAGAATTCAACTGCAAAAGATCGCCATAAACGTGTCCGGTAAGTTTTATTTACAGAATTTTTTGGTTTTCGTTGAATTCTTTCTTATTTTCTTTTGTATTAGATGTAAACAATGTGAACCATGTTGTCGCGATGATTGTTCTGAATGTGTACATTGCAAAGATATGCCAAAATTTGGTGGTGTCGGAAAAATGAAACAATGCTGTTTGACTAAACAATGTATCGCGCCAATCTTACCTTCAACAGCAACATGTCAAGTTTGTTTGAAAAAGAAAGGTTCAAGAAAATTATCGCAATTGAAACCCGAAGAAATTCTTTATGAATGTGAACGTTGTATGGAAATTCATCATCTACCATGTTTTCATGTCTGTCTCAAGTTATTCAAAATAAAAATAAAAGAATTTTTATTTCTGTTTTAGAGTGCTCATTCGGATGCATCTGCAAGTGAAGGTGTCTTCAGTGATGACATACCTGAAACATGGTTGTGTCCAAAGTGTATTACAGCTAATACACCTGAACCTCCTCTATACAAATTACGGCCAATTGTTCGACGAACATTGGTTACAACCAATAAGGGAAAAAACGGACTCATCGAATTACCATATTCTGATCCTTCGCAACAGCAACATCATATTTTACAACAACAACAACAACAACAACTGCAGCAACAGCAACAACAGCAACACCATTATCATATGTATGGAGCCAATATGAATACGAATTTAAATTATACAGATCCGTATGAAATAATGGAAAGCGAAGCAAAAAAAGTAAGCGAACCTAATTAATAATGATTTTAGAAGTGTTTTCTTTTTTCTTTCGAAATTTAAGCGTCGTCTTTACGCAAGTATGTACACAGCAAATGGGAATATTGATACACCTGGCATAACAACCCATCCATCGTCAACAATGAATAACAATCTTGTTCCTCTTGATGATATTTCACAATCATTGAATGATTCGGATTTATATATACCACAAATGTTTGCTGTTTAATATATATATTTTTTTCTTCTTCTCATTCTTTCTCACTCTCTCTTGCTTCTGATAGTTATCATCGATTCCTCTTTTTGAATTAGGCTACGAGCAGATACCCCGGTGTATGTGCATGAGTATAAAAATTAAGAAAAAAAAAGAGAAAGACAAAGAGAGTCTGTGTATTTACTTTTCATTTTTATTTACTATTCATTCATTTGTTTTGTTTTTCTTTTTCGTCAGTCATTTCTGTCTCGTCTCTTTTTTCTCACTCTTCTGTACTTATTACTGTTCAATTTTTTTTTCAAGATAAAGACAGATGAAGAAACAGCATAAAAAAATTCAAGATGTCGAAATGCATATATAATTTGACATGCAATAGCATTATTCATTGACAAAAGATTTTAGCTCTTTTTTTATTTGTTTGATTGACCTTTCATTTAAAATGCATTATTTGAACATTTCCCTTTTTCTTTTTCTGAAGGAGAAAAAAGAAAAATTTAATCAATGAATGATTAATTATCAAATCTAACCGTGTTGATTCAAAGAAATTTAACAGAAGATGAAAAATAACACTGATTGGCAACTTTGTTGCAGTAAAACTATATTTGTTTTTGAATATTTCATGCGACATTTATTGACACAGATATAATTGATTTTCTTTTTATATTCTGCTAAGGAGAAGAGGGAAGAAGGAAAGAAAAGAAAGAAAATCGTTTTTTCATCAATATCAGAAATACTTTTTAAAAACGTTAATGTGCACTCAATTGAGTCTCTTGCTCTTGACAATCGATGTTGTCTACATGTTATTTCCATGGATTTCTAACAAAGCAAGTTTCTGAATTTAAACATTTATTTAATCAAATGCAAAATGCCAATCTAGGTTATATATTAAAAAAGATAGTTTTTTTTTGTTCAATAAATCTGTCTAGAATTCATCATGATGTTCATTTGCGTTTTTCTTCCTTGCTTTTCCGACGCTTCAATGGTGAATCTAGTCTTCGAGTTTCAAAAACGCGTTGTTGTTGTGGTGGCCAATACTGTTGATAACCAGAAACATTTTGACCTAGATACGATTGAGGCCAGAAAGGAGCTTGTTGCTGTTGCGGATAATACGAAAGTTGCGGCTGCTGATAAAATGGATATTGTGCTACTTGTTGCGGATAGTAGCTTTGTTGAGGGTAGTAGCTTTGTTGAGGATAGTAGCTTTGTTGAGGATAGTAGCTTTGTTGGGGATAGAAATATTGTTGCGGATACGATGCACCATATCCTGAATATTGCTGTGGTAGAGCAGCATTTGCAAAAGCATTAAAATTGCCTGTGCAAGGTGCACATTGTTGGCACTTAAAAAAAAACGAAGTCCAAGTGGTAGTTTATTTTATAAAATGAAAAATGTCACCTGTTGTGGAATGGCTTGCATTGCTGTGTATATGGTTGAATAAGATGCGAATGTTAAAAGGAGTGTTTTGTAATGAAAGTACTGTGTTTATATACTCGAATGTTTAATGATAGTTATATAAAAACTAAGGGTCGAAGGTCGTTTTCTTTTTCTTTTTGCTGCAGGCAGTTTCTTTATTGTCAAATAAATATATCATGATGTCAGATATTAAGAGTGAGAATAGTCTATACATATTTGGACTTGATACTTAATGAGACAAGGATCTCTCATAAAGTATTGATAACGCATTTTGATAAACGAATAATGACTATGAAGAGAAAAAGTTTATTTTGTGTCGATGAGCAATACAAATCATGGGCAGAGTTTAACAATGTTGTGTTTTATTATTGCAATATTCAAATCAGTCGTGCAGAACAGCGTAGCTGTTTCATTAGATAGTTTCATATATGATTCATTCAAGAAAATTATTTTAAGTTTGTAAATTAATCATCAAAAATTTAGATGTTAATATGCATATTAAATGTTAAGATAACAAGCAATTTATCCATTAGAATATAACGATTTCGATGTGAATTTGAATCTAAAATATGTACTCATGCCGATATTGAAGAATATTATAACGAGAAAAAAAATATTCATCAATATGTTATAGATTTTATTGAAAAGTATGAAATCGAAAGTTATTCCTTGAATAAGGACATTGACACTATGAACTATAGCTGGCAGGTACGATTGAAAGAGCATACTTACTGCCTAGCGGCATCTCTAAAGAGAAGAAGTTTATTTGACGCATAGAAACTAGCCACAAGAATAGGTGCATATTTTTCTAGACCTTACGAGCTTGTTAGTAAGCTTGTAAGCAAAGATCCATCGATCTAGTCAATCACACGCCCTCGTTCCTATTACCATTGATTGAATTTATAAGATGCGATAACTTGCACTGAAATCACTATTTCTTAATGAACGTGTCACAAAAACAACTTTCGGTATGCCGACGATAGTGCGAACAAACATATCACTAGGGAATATTACTGTCATCAATGGCAATGCGGTCTGTATTATTCTATAGGACTGTAATAGTTCATGTCTGATTCACAGGTTAATTTTTACCAGCACGAAATTCACTTTGATTTTTCTAAACAAAGAAAAATTGTCGAATATGAACGTACTACGACAAGTTTTCAATCACAAATCGGTTGACATTGATGAGGCAAAGCGAATAAATTAGATACTCAATGCTGAAAACTAAAATTGGTATTAACAGTTTGATTTGCTTGAATCAGTTATGTTCATTTTTTGCATTCAAAATATTCCCTGTCGTACTATTTTTCCTTTGTGCATTTTCTACTAAATTCTATTTAATTCCTACCATTTGGGAATCATTGGAACCATTGAAATCCTATAGCAGATGATAGAACGAACCAATGATAGGCAGATGCCTCCTACACAATAATCAATAGGTTTGCAAATCCAATATCTATCATTACAAGTATAGTGTTTACATTGAATAACGATGTTATGTTTAGCATTTGCATGGGTATGAATTTTTTCTATAAAGCGAAATTGAAGAATTCACGAAACAAAAAAAAGAAAGCAAATATTTTGATTTATGTAATAAAGGAAATGTACCGGTGAGTTATTGATAAAGCAAAAGAACAAAGTTGCAGAGCCTGCGTCTGCTACCTATAAAATATTATCAAAGAGGAAAAAGCTGAAATCGCTTATATCAATAACACGAGTTCCCATCTCGGGATATACAATTAGTAGTCTGTAATCAGGCTCGAATACTAATTGCATGATAATGCGAGTCGTATGTTATTCACAAATCGCACGTAATCACTTCACACTTCTATTCGATTTTGATACTTATAAATCAAAGAATTTTCTTTTTCTATTGTACTTTTGGTTTCATAGAAAGCCGGAAAAACAAAATTTACAAAAGAATTCAATCGCTTTTTATCGCCTATTGGTATAGCATTTACTGTAAAATGATCAGTATTGTTTTACTTCCGATTTAGTTTTTATAATGTCGCGCTGCTGATGTGTTACAATAGGATGCATGCGTTGTTTGAAATAAAATTTCCACACACCAAAGTATTTTATTGTGATAGAACATGCCGTTCTGTAAAGGGCATATTGTTACAGTAAAATAAATGCTGTCCTGCCAGAGTAGTCCTTTTGTCGGCGATTATGCTGGCACTTGACAATCTCAGAACGATCTATAAATTTTGTTTTCGATTGATTGATAATATTTATTCCTGCAGATCAACGCTTGGCACATTATTCCGAAGTCATTTATTCTTTGAAGTGACAATTAAAAACTTTCTAGAGGCGCACAACAGATCTGTTTCAATACTGTTAGCACAGAAACAAAAGCCAGCTCTTGGTGAATCCGAAAAACCAAGCCATGATACAAATGAATTGAAGCGAAGATATTCCGATGATTTTTTTTATCTCTCATATTGCTTTTTATGCTTCAGCCCAAATGTAGAAAGCGTAAATGGGAGAGAGAGAGAGGGAGGGCGAAAGAAGCCCAAATCTATTTGTTATAGAGAAAATAGAACGATTTCTAGAGAAATTTATATCAAAGTTATTTCTATTTTTAACGTCACTCGATATATTTTTTTTCAAAAAACAATTATTTTCTCTATTACTTAAATACGCAAGGTACAATTATTTGAATTTCAACAAAAACCGTGAATTCAATGTTTTGATATCTTCTAGGAATTATTATGCGTGCAACATTGATCAATAGTCTGTTATGTTGTTTTTTCATCGTTCTTCTCGGTATAATATGTTTGTCGAGTGCATCAATTGATAATGATGAATATTCTCTTGATACGGACTGGATGGACTACAGCAGTTTTCATCCAGTACATGCACTCGAGGACCGTGCAATTCACTCACGATTTTGGAAACGTCCTCGACATCGTCACTTCTGGAAGCGATCACTGGTTGAACCATCAATGCAAAATGATAATACGGTTAAATCTGTTTCTAAACAGCTTCAACAACAGAATAAACATTGAACTATAGAAGAAAAAATAAATAGAACAGTACAAATTTTTTGTCCTTTTTCCACTTTATTCAATAGGCTCACTGATGCAATACTTTATCATCTAAGACATTAATCCATTCATTTGGAGTATAATTGAATAAAAAATAAAAGTAGAAAGCACAAAAAAGAAATATGAATCCTTGTCATTAGCTATCGATAATGCAATCGAATCCACAGGGAGACAGTCATTGTGTTTCTAATGAAGCCATTAACTATCAATTGTTAAGAAAGACAATCATAGGAATATTCAATATAGGTAATAATTCATTTAAATCATTCTTTTATCTCTTTTTTTCATCAACATTTATTCATACATATACTCAAGAAAAATTTACAACAATAGAAAAAGAGATTCAAGATTGTTCTGTTTGTATCAAATAACATGTATTGATATAATCGATCTTTCGTGTGGATTATTAATATACTGAATTGGTTGATAATTGGAGTATTTGTTTAATACTTGGCGTGCGTAATTTTTTGATGTTGCACATCGAACATTGGGATAGCGTAAATGACTATTCATTTGAGGTACCATTGAATTTCTTGTGCTTACATTAGCACTTCGATATATTTTAGCGACACATTGAATACATAACAATAATATAAATAAAACAACTATGACCAAGCCAATAATAATAAGCCATTGATGTAAAGATTGTTCTGAACTTGGCGATTGAAAATTATCTGAAGGTAGTCGGCTCATAGCTTTTAGCTGGCTTTTTATGTAATAAGAAAGGAAACTGAAATGATTTTGAAAAAAAAAACATGACATGTACAAATTTATGTTGGATTTTTCTAACGTTATGTAAATCATGTTACATTCCATGTTCTTCTATTGATACATTCACTTCGATCTCTAGACATGGATTTCTTTCCTATAGAAAACAAAATTCGAAAGTCAAGTTGCCTATTGTAATAATCATTTTCTATAATCACAGGCCGTTTTTACAGTGGAAACTTTTGTTGATATTAAAAATACCCACTCTGTTTTTGATTATCATACGTCAGTATTGATTATTTTAGAGTTTAAAAGCGAAATTTTTTCACGAACAAATTGTATTTTTGCAATGACTTTCAATTGATGTTTGCTTTTCTGTTTGAAAAATAGTACGAAAAATTCAATACGAGTTATTTCATAGGACGAAGAAAAAAATAAAATAAAAAATTCGTCGATGAAAAAGTCAATTTTGACTCTGACATGCGAAGTATAGGAATAAGATTTTCTAATATATGACTAAATTTCCTGTTGTTCAAATGCATTTATGAGATGACTTGAATAGAACTGATGATTAATAATGATATATCAAATGTCAACTTTTGTTAGATTTATGCTTGAATTGAGGTTCTGTTTTCCAGTCTTTATAACAGATCATTGCTGAATATAATTTGACAGCGTGCTGAAGAAAAGATGTCGTCCGATGACATATCATGTTAAACTTTTGATTTTTTTGCAGCCATTTTCTTTAGTACACTTATCATGATTATAAGTTAAATAAATAGAAGCAAATACAAGACTTGTTTTTTATCAATAGTTAAATTCATTTTTTTAGATCTTTTGTATAGGAAGAAAACAGCATTACATTTTGAAACTGTAATAACAGGAAGTTAGGATGTACGCGAAATAAACGTACTAACAAGTATTATTTTCAGTTCGATTTAGTTAATTGAGAGTATCACAGGTTTTTATTTAAAAATGTCAAATCCACAAAATTTAAATTCGTTTCATGAGACGTTGAACAGTCAATGCTGAGTGAACGGTTTCGAAAATTGGAGCCGACTTATCAATTCAGATGTGATATTTATTCGGAGTCAAGCGGACATAAAACAAGGCGTCGAATGTATGTCAAAGAGATTTTCAATCGGTATTCAGATTTAATCATTAGAGTCAATGTTACACATTCAATCATATATTGAGTGAAAATATTTCGTTGGCCAATCAAAAAATCACGGAATCAAATAGATCTATCTTTTGGAAACAATAGTTTTAGCTCAATTCACGTTCTCAATGGCATAAAAAAGTACAGTGAATAATTTCATACAACTTCCTGAAAAAGTTTCAAGCTCCATAACATTTTATTATTATGATTAAGAAGTCGTTTCAAAAAGCTCTGCGTGCAAGGACGCAATAGGAAATTTATTGCCGTATAATCTTTGTAGGGCTTCAGATTGTATCAATACAAACAGATCGTTCAAGTTCTCAATAGATTTTAGGAAGAGATATTGCTTTGTTCTAATGAAATACAGGTTAAATAATATTTCCCTATATAATCTAAGTTGGTTGCAAGGGGGGAAAAGCTGACTCTGTGATTCCACTGATTCGATGTGATTCTGTTGATTCCATCGGCTCTGGAATCACTACGAATACCAATGTATTTCTCGATCGTGATGTCGTAACATCAATAGTAACATTATAGAATCATTACAGAGATGAATTCTGACGACTCACGATCATTCCATTCAGTAGGGAAATCAGTTCACATATGATCGTAAGAATCATTGAGTCGAGTACAAGAGACATAATCTGTATATTGCTGAATCTCAGTCAAAAGCGTATCAGTTCTCATTTCACAACAACAAAACAGTACAACGGAACGATATCTAACCGACCAATGAGCCATTGAGGTTCGTTCCATTGTTTTCTCATGACCACTCAAAGGATTACAGATCGCAAGTGAGCTTTGCCGCCCGATAATGATGTCAAAATGTTAGGTTTGGTTTGAATCAACATTAAGCCATAAAAAAATTGGATTACTGTTGCTTCTCGCGTTTTCGTTATTTTCCAGCCTGATTATCACTGTTGCTTTGATTTCGAAACCGGAGCTCATAGTTAATATATACAGTTTATGAAACTTCGATGGTATGGAGAGAGGAGTCTTCAAACATCAAGAAGTGAATGATCGTAACGAGAGTAAGCTCCAAAAATGTATAAGGCAGTCTGAGCGCTCAAGTAGCTGACTTTAGTTTTCATTTTTCTTTCTGTATCAAACACAAAAGAGAGCCTCTTTGTGTATATTAGCACCAATCTTTCTTAAAAAGTTGAGAACCACACGATATTCTATAGATTTCGTTCGGACATCATTATTTGTGACTAAGTAACATATAATCATTGAGTGTCAACAGAACGCAAAAAAAGATAGTTTATAATCAGTTGGATTAAAAGCAACATCCATTGCTCATTTTAGTAGTTATAAAAGAGTGCCCTTTACGCCTATCATAGGCTCTTGTAGAAAAAGAAGTTGTCGATTCTTCGTGATTCACAATTTCTTACTGTCTAGCTGTACTTCGTCTGGCACCAATTGAGTTCTTTGAGACGCTACTAAAATGTACGTTTTTCAGAACCCAAAAGAATTCGATGGCATTGTAATTAATGAGTTTTGAAAATCTATAGATAGGACCCGATTGGCTCTGATTGCTAAATTAGAAAATTCACTGCAGCATCGCGTTTTCAAGGAATCGCAAAACAAAGTCAAATTTTGGCTAATTTTTTATTCGAAATAATGACGTCGAAAGCATTAATCTACGTAAAATATGAAACAAGAGACATCGCGTAGGTCGAAAATTTTCTCATTTCCTCCTGATCAAAGGCGACAGAAATTTCCAATTGTAAGAGTTTTGGTGCCAGTTACATCGAAGAATATTGATATCTTAATTGGCTATAGAATATGAGCGGTCACTTTGTCTTACTGTACTAAGCAAAGATAGATGAATCCGTTGTCTTTCTTCTTTCATATAAAGGAAATTAAAGAAAAATGATCTCCCCTATTTTAGAGTAGTTTTTAACGTGCCAATCAGATTCATGTCGCTGCTTCCAGCAGTCAGTCAAGTTTTCTAGGTGTTCTAACTTGGAAGCGTCGAAGGATCGTCCAGGGTTTAATCAGTCGAAAGCTGCTTGGGGACTTGATTATGTACCAGAAAATTGTTAGATAATCTGGTTGATATGGTAAAAGCTGTCCGAAAATTTATCGTTTTAGTCTCTTGAGAAATGAAAATGTGGAATTCCGAAGCTCTAGTTGCTGTTTACTTGAGATAAAATATTAAAGAGCTTCAAATAACTGAACAGATAAATCCTCCAAAATGGTTACAACTTTTTATAGCTGACACGCATGCCCATATATTTAATCATGTGGGAAATGTGTTCATGTATTGCTATTATCCAAGCAATTTATTAGATTCATTTCGTGTTGTTAGGCTGAAAACGTTTTTTCTATTGTGAACTGCATCACATCTTCACTTCATCAATTCCTTTCTTCCAATGATAATATGCGGCAGACGTTATATGAAGTGTAAATATCGTTTTATTCTTTTAATCATTTTGAGTACCATATTAACTTGCTATATACATTGATTTGATCATTTAGGAAAAGTCTGACACACACTATTACTTGTTTTGACAAATAATGAGATATAAGCTGAGTTTTTTCTAAATTTGGAATTCAACTATTTCATAATTTTACATGGTGCTCCTCGTATTCTTACTCGATTAAATGAATAATGGCTTCGATCTACTGAATGACATCTACAATAACACCATTTCGTTATGCATTGAATACCGAAACTTGCCATATTTAGACTACGTAGTGAGTGTGTACAGAGTTTGAGAATAATATAACCTTCGCTATTGTTTATGCGCCTTTTCGCTATACTATAGAAATTTAGCCAATAATCTTTGATGTTGTTCTCTCTTTCTCACTCGCCATTGTTAGAACGAAGAGCAAGCTGCGAAACCTCGATTTAAACCGACAAACGTGTATATGTTCTTCTAAAGTATACAGGGGTTTAATAAAAACCTGCTTGTTTGCTGTAAAATGGCGAAATTAATTCTACTACTCGGTAAAAAACTGCCAAAAAAAAACTACTTAACTGCTTCTAACCAATGAAATGTATTCGATCAAGCATGATAAGAAGCCGAGACATGTATTTCTTAGGTGTTTCATTCCATAGGATTCTGAGTGATTCCGATGATTCTATCGCCATAGAATCAGCTTTTCTCCCTTGGTTGGTTCTTGATTAGTATCGACTAATAAAATAAGAAAAATAGAAATTAAACTAATATTATTTTTCGAGCGTAAATAATTGTAGCATTAATACTTTTTCCATTCTGCACTTCTAATTTCCTGTCTTTTATTTTTTTTTACATCAAATATAATCGTATATTAAAGCCAACTCCCACATTTAATGCTTATCTTTCAATTTTCTACGGGAGATAACATGTAGTACATTACTTTTTTGATTACGGTAACCCTTTGAATATCATTAACTATTTTTTTTATGGCGAATAGTCATACTATTCATTTCGTTTCGCCTTCTCTAGAACGACGATGTTGAATAGAAATCTTATTGTTGTGACATTAAAAATCGGAAAGATCTTATAAAAATTCTATTCAAGCAATTTACTCGCAATATACTTTATTCCTCAGAGTAAACATATTATTCAAATTAATTTAATCAATTCTGTCAAAAAAAGCCTCGGACACCTTTATGAGTCAGCCTTTATTAATCTTGCATAAAAGAGTGTGAGAGAGAGAGAGACAAAAAAAAGGCCATGAAATGATCAGATTTTAGTTTCTAAATCAGTTATGTTTATATTAACTGATGTGACATCTCATTCATCATTACTGTTTTCAATCGTAAGAAAAATTTCTGTTCAATACGTAATCATAGATTACAAATGATAGAAATTGGCATACTACCGGAGAAAAGAAAGATATAATATAACGGAGAAGAAGAAAAAGAAGAATAATCGTACTGTTTTCTTTGATTTCTCTTTTCTTCAATCTTACATCCTATCAATATAATCTGAAATCGAGCAAACGAACAAACGTAGGCGAGCGATGGTTTAATGTCTCAGTGTCACATAAGAAAAAGAGAAAAAGGAAATCTCGCTACGTTGACCTCCATAGACTAAAATCATCATATTCCACTGTGAACAATCGATCAGGCACATAAGGATGTAATTATATGGTTATTTACTAGTTAATGTGTAGACCCGTGTGATGTGTCGATTTGTTCTGTTTCTCGAGATTGACAACAATCAAATTGGTTGTTTCTAAGAAAAGAAAATTCTGTTCAGCGTCATATATATATATCAGAACAACAAAGAGGTAAGGAAACGGTGGCGTCTTATCTAGTTTGCACCTCGCTTTTTTTTATATCGCGCACGGCGAAATACAGCCGAACTTGTTTTTCTTTAAAAACAAAAACCTGTGAAGTATCCAATGAAATATTCAGTTCATTACGGACATATTTTCTTTTTAGTATTATTATCATTTATCTAATCAATAGATGAAAAGATTCGCCCACTTTTCTACTAGCTCTTCCACTATTTGTCCATTAATCGTCATCAATTTTCCACTTCTAATGTTATTTTTACCATATGTAAACTATTTGTTCAATTAATCTATCTATTCATTTTTCTAAAAACAAATTTCAAACGAACAAACACACACACACACACACACACACACACACATATATATATGAAAACAAAACTCATTTGTTAATAGATTCATATCCGATTTATAGAGAAATATAGAAAAATATAATTGTTTATCTTTCCGGCAATGAACCTATCGAATCGTTATAAAAACGAGTTACTCTATGAACATTTTCTACTCATATATCATTATCATTCATTCACAGTGCAAAGACATATATACTGTTTTTTTTTTATCTCTAGTGAATTTTCTTTCTTAATATGACGATTGATTAATATGACTTTCTTTTATTTCAGTTCCTAATATTAATTTGTCATCGTCATTTTTATTTTATTATAATTAATATGCAGACAAAATTCATTCTTATCGTTGGTCTTCTAGCCATCCTGTTCGTCTTTCATTGTAACACTGTTGAATCTGCAGTACATTTAGATAGTGATGAACAATTGGATGATTCAAGCTTAGAAGACTCGTATGAATTAGATAAACGTCTCACTTCGGCTAAATTTGCCAGTGGTCTTGGCAAACGATTAACATCAGCGAAATTCGCTAGCGGTCTCGGCAAACGTTTAGTATCAGCGAAATTTGCCAGCGGTCTTGGAAAGCGTTTAACATCAGCAAAATTTGCATCTGGTTTGGGTAAACGATTAGCATCAGCGAAATTTGCATCGGGATTGGGCAAATAGAATTTCAAAAAAGAAAATCAAAAACATATTATTTTTTTGCCCTGTAATTATGAACAAACTATGGAACCATTTTTTTCCTCGAAGTAAAAGAAAACTAGAAATAGTTTTAATGACTGTTGTTTAGTTTTGTGTAATTCATCATGCATAGGAACGGATATATCTAATAAAGGATGGTTATATGAAAGACCCATTTACTCGTGTGTTCATCGTTTTGCTTTTTTTTCATGTTCAAAACTAATTGATAGATTCAATGGCTGAATGAATCGATGACAAGAGATATTAAAATTTTCACTGGCTCATTTTGAATTCAACGACGAGGTCATCGTCTCTCATTCATCCTACGTTCAGTATCTTCTTCGTCTTCGATTTTTTGTATTTCAATGTATCCTTTGATTGGTCTCTGTTAGAACTCATTGAGCCGTAACGGTGATAGTAATTGTGTGAGAATATACACAACACTTTTCATTATCGATTGTCGTTGACACATACGTCTACTAGATCAAATAGAAATGTCCTATCGTTATGTCTACCCCAATGGAGGAGTTGCCAATGTTGGTTACGGTGCTGATCCAACATTGATGCCAGCTGGTTATCAAAATATGTACAATAATGTTCGACGATCCTATTCACCGGAATCGTTTTCATCGGATAGTGAAAGTAGTGACGATTATGAATATCGAGGTCGAATGATTTCACGTGAAACACGACACCCACAAGATGTAGTTCGTGCACGAACACCACCTCCGATTATAAAACGTGTTGTAGAACGTGCTCCAACACCTGAACCTACTATCATGGAACGAGTAAGTCTGAAATAAAGAAGAAGAGAAAAACAAGCAAATCAACCAAAAGAATAAATATTTCTTCGTTCTTATTTTTTTTATTCCATTATTTATCTTATTCTAGGTTATTATTCGACCACAAGCTCAAGAAATTGTTGAACGTGTTATTGAACAACCTCGTACACCGCCACCACGTATTATTCAAAAAGAAATGCAAGAAGAAGCACCACCACCAATCGTGCGAACACGGTAAGATCGAAAAAACTTCGAAAATAAAATCTACACACATATCTATCGATCTATTGATTAGTGTGATTAAAGTTGATCGTCCAATGCATAGTGGTTATAGTCAACCAGGTTCACCATACAATCATCAATATAATGGATTAACATCAGGTTCGAATGGTTTTTCTGGTAATGGTTATCGAGCTCAATCTGTTGCTGGTTCGGTTGGGCGGCCAGCTGCCTATAATAATACGGTTGGTAATGGTAGAAGTTTTTCATCATCATCAAGTTTTGAATATATGTCTGCCGAACCCATGCCATCCGCTGTACCATCGTCAACAATGATGTTTATGCCTGCATTACAACAAACACAACCTTTAGGTGTTATGCAACATCCACAACAACAAATGATGTATCGACCATTTCAAATGCAATCATCGATTCCACCTTTACCATCGACTTATATGCCTCAAAATTATAGATATTCTCCTGCACCTCATCCTGGCATGTCTTTCAGTTATCGTCCAATGATGCAACAAGGCCGAATGCTGCCAACTCGCATGCCGATGATGGCAACAACAAATGCATTTGGCATGCCAACAAGTAACTATTCAAATCAGCCCAATTTCTTTAATCCAAAGATTCAACAATTAGTTTATTAAATAAAGCATATTATTTGACATGAACTTTTTAAAAAAAAGTCAGATAAAATGACTATGCATTTCATTTTTCATTTCATTCAATGTATTGTTATCATTATTCGTTTGCTGTTTGTAGAAGAATATTTATATTTAAAATTAGATTTTGTTTCACATAAAAAGAATTGTTGTTCTTTTTAGTTTCAATAAAAACAAACACGATTGTTTAAAGAACATATTTATAATTCTATAACTATATATTCTATTTTCGAAATCTATACGCATATTTGTATGACTTTCTTTTTTTTCATTAACACTTGAAATAATAACTAGGTTTGATTCCGTCGTCTATAGATGTCGCTTTATGTAAAATTAAATTGTAAAATTGAATATTTTCTCAAAGTTTTCAATTACTTATTTCCAAAAATCGAATTGAATTTCATTTTCTTTAATTTTTTTTGTCTCTGCCTCATTATTTAGTTCAATATGAGTGTATTGTTCACCGAAACAATATGGTCGGCAATCGACAACTAAAATTCTTTGTTTTGTCTGGTTTATTCTCTATACATTCGAACACTTGTCTGATCTCGTCTTTTGAATAAATATAATATATAAAAATAAATATGCCTGCCACACGTGATGATGACGTTTATCAAGCTAAATTAGCCGAACAAGCAGAACGTTATGAAGGTAGTTTTCCAAAGAACTTTCGAATTTCGATTCTATATATATATATATATATTTTTCTTTTTGACTAATAGAAATGGTTGAATCCATGAAACGAGTAGCTAAAATGGATCAAGAATTAACGGTTGAAGAACGTAATTTACTTTCTGTTGCTTATAAAAATTTAATAGGCGCACGACGAGCATCATGGAGAATTATTTCGAATATCGAAAGTAAAGAAGAAAGTAAAGCAGGAAATAGTAAAACTGCATTCACCAAAAAATATCGCTCTCAGGTTTGTTTTTCTTTTATGTTCATGATATGTAAACAATGGACTTTCTTTAGGTTGAAAAAGAACTACGTGATATATGTCAAGATATTCTTGATTTACTCGATAAACATCTTTTACCAAATGCTGCATCAGGTGAAAGTAAAGTTTTTTATTTGAAAATGAAAGGTGATTATCATCGATACAAAGCTGAATTTGCCACACAAGAAGATCGTAAAGAAGCTGCTGAAAGTTCTCTTATTGCCTATACAAAAGCCAATGACATTGCTCAAAATGAATTGCCACCAACACATCCAATTCGACTCGGTTTAGCATTGAATTTCTCGGTATTTTATTATGAAATTCTCAATACACCAGAACGTGCTTGCCGATTAGCTAAACAAGTAAAATATTTTCTTTTTCGTGAAATTTTTCTTTTAATTCAATGTTATTTTTAAGGCTTTCGATGATGCAATTGCCGAATTGGATACACTCAATGAAGATACATACAAAGGTATGAATTGACGCGAGAAAAAAAAACTGTTTTTCTCTCCGATTGTTTTGTATTTTCATTTGTTGTTGTTTATAGACTCAACATTGATTATGCAACTCTTACGTGACAATCTCACATTATGGACAACCGATATGCCTGGTGATAATGACAATGCCCAGAATGAAGTACAAGATGTCGATGATGATCAAAAGTGAATGAGTTTGATGTTTAAAAAACACAACAAAAAAATTATTCTTTTTTTTTCTCTTTCGTCTCAATCTCTCACGTTTTCTTTTTTTTTCCATTTATTATAAAAACTACAAAACCTTTTTTTTTTGTGTGCGTGTATTCAAATGAGAATCTCTTTCTATTATTGTAAAACGATGAGTGTGAGAATGATGATTATTTAATTTGAAACAAACAATTGACGACGAGTAGATATGACTAGTCAGGAAATCTTCTCGTCTGATTTCTTTTTGTTTTTCTTTGACACATACACAAAACACCCACATTCCTAATTTATCTTTCAATTGACAAATCTTTTATGCGATTATGTACACTTCTTGCACGTCAAAAAAAAAACTTTTCGTTTGTTTTCTTTTTGTTTGTCTTCATGTACTCCTATATATTATAAATAAACAAGTGTGTCTATGTTACCACCAATGCTGCTTTTTCAGTTATCACATTCAGCTTCTTTTTTTTCTTCTATTGAATAAAACACCAAAAAAAAAAGAACATACAGATGTCGAATTGGTTAAGCAGAGTGCTGTCGCAATCTCAGCGGAGTTCAACTGTGAAAAATGCAGCAAAGCTGCTCTTGCTGATCACAAGAGACGCGAGTTCTTTTTTGTAATCATGAATTCATTTGTTTTACCTCGAGGCCTTCGTCGTCGAAACTGATTCGTAGCGATTGATCAAAGCTGGTGACATACCGGAAGTAGTCAAAATATTTTGAGAAAGAAGAACGGCTTTGATTATAACCACGCTTGTATTAATCTAACGGCGTGTCGAATTAAATTGCATAGAGGAAGTCTACAAACGTATCCAATTACCTATTAGTTCTCTCTTCGTATAAATTTCATCGCAGAATGAGAACAAATATATTTTCTTGCCCGTCGTTTGGTATGCAAGACAAAGTGATTTTCTTATCATTATTGTACACGGTCAATAGGAGGGAAAATAATACAGTCAGGTGTTCAAGATAGATTTTTTAATAATTCGATTCCTCTAATGATTAGAATATTTACTTACGTAAAAGATATGACATCTTTGAATTGTATCTAGTTTGAACTAAAAATCGTTAGTTTCTATTTGGTATTTCGTGAGAATCATTTTATACATCGATCAAAGTTACTCTACGATTTCAGTTTGCTTATTTATAAACGTCAGCAAACCATAATAAATTCTCCGAGCGATTCATTCTTGTTCATCTATCATAATTGAACATGATTTAGACGTAATATAAGAAAAAAATACTCTAGGTTGTCTTTCACATAATCCAATAAGTCAAAGTTAATAAAACCTTGATTTCATTCAAGCAACAAAAAGGAAGCTCTTTAGCATAAACCCTGTAAGACAATGTAGTTATCCTTGCTAAATACAAGGGCATTCAAGAGTTTCATATTCTATTTATGGTTAAATAGAAATCTATATTAGGAAAAAGAAAAGCACTTATTCGATGAAGAAAACTTATGAGTTATCGTTATAGAGAAACCAAAAGCTAATTTCTATCATTCAATTTCAAGTGAAGTATCTTCTTGCATAAACTCAAGCTCACTTTTCTTGTCAATGGCTGCTATTAGCACATCATGTTTCTTTTATATCAACTAGCAGACATTCTCTTTTGATGCAATTCTCGGATTCTATAGAGAAAAAACTACGGAAACTTCATCAAGAAAAAGATAATTAATCACCAATAGGATTCTTTGACTATAAGATTTCATATTTCGCTATTTTCTATTCAACTAATTAGAGAATATCTTTTTTTGAAAATTTCAAATTTATTGACCTGTAAAAAGTCACTTTCTATCAGTCGAGTGAACCGATTGTTATCTCGTTCAAGTCAAAGAAGCGTATAGGCGATTTAGATCGACACAATGGTATGTTAGCTTTCTATTGATCATCTTTTTTCTCTATCCTTGAAAGATGATTATTCTCTCTCATTTCCAATATTCATCATATCAAATAACTGCATATGTTTGACTATATGCTAACATTATACTAACTTAAAATTGTTAATATGAACGAACAGAAAATGAATATAACAGATGTAAAATTGTTCACGAGACCAAAAACGCAGTCGGCATTCACATGAATATAAGTCTGTCTATTTAGTCATCGTTATTGTCTTTCAGTGACATTTTGTCTGGTTTGTACACGACTGCAGGCATCCTACGCTTGGCTGCTATCATCATAACCGACCTCCCGCTATTATTAACATCGGAAGCGCTATGCGTCTTAAATGTTAGACGATTACATATGTGTATATGTCGAAACAAACGGTGTTATAAATAATTATAGCAATTATGATAGACGTTCATATATATATCGATTAAAAAAAAAGAAAGCCGCATTGTCAAATCAATGTAATAATAAAAACATTAAAATAATCGTTTGAAGTCCGCTTTGAGAAAGTTGAGTCAAGCGTAGAAAAATCGATTTATCAATTACATGATTAAAACAAAAGAGAGAATAAAATAGGTTAGGGTTATTATTCGTGAAAAAAAACAACAACAACTTTGTCTAGGATAAGTAAATATTAGTTCTCATGTATGTCGTGAGAAGAAAAACTCATCAAATGCTAATAGATTTCGAAATTAATCCATCTTTGTAAATGTTGCATGCTATGTCTCGACGATGAGATGGGACTCAATTGATTACAAACTTTAATGATCTATCAGCACGTTAGGCCAGGAGTTCTACTGTGTCACATGTGCTCTTGAAATATTTGATAAGGGAGAAAAAAAATAAAAGATTATATATATATATATGCCACTCGAGCATCGATGATTGAACAGCACAGTAGGGCAGCCATAAGAAAAGAGAGATGAGAGAGAACGGAAGGAGAAGGAGAAAGAGAAAGAGACGTTGTTAAAAAAATCATCTTCCTTTGTATGTCAGTCATTCTATCAGGATACAATAGTAATATGAATATACATATATTATAAAGTAAGCTCATGTATGTCTTGTATATATATATTTACATTTTAATAGTAAATACACATGCGATCGTCTTTGCACGATTGATTTGATGATGTGACTAGAAAGTAAGGTTCAACGGATGAAAATTATGACCATATGTGTCCAATGCCTTTTTTTTCTTTTGCTGTCAAAATAATTATCAGAATTAAGACAAAAGGTATTATTAATAATAGATATAGATTGTTGCTTTTTTTTTCTTCTGTCGCGTTTTTTAGCGGATCAAATTAATAGGAAAAGAAAGAGGTCAAGTGGAATATGATAGTGAATAGGTTTGAACAGGTGGACTCATTAAATTATTTGTGTTATGTTTAGCGCGAAGAAAGGCGATGAAGTGTTTCGTCTAATTCAAAATAGATCGTTTCTCTATTCTTTCTAGTGACATTTGAATGTAATAGACGAGTGTCTTGTTATTCTATGACTGTATTCATACAGCGCTAAATGTAAGTAAGTTGATTTAAAAAATGAACACAATCATCTGTTATTGCTCTTTTGTTTTATTTATCTCTAGCAAAAATTGACATTTTTGATGGCGTAGAAATTCGAAGAAGAACTAAGATTGCTACAAATGCTAAACTTTTTTCTTTAATAGTATAGAATATGTGTAGCGCAGAGTGTTACCATACGTGTTTTCTTTTTTTTGTCACATTAAGTCATTTTAAAATTCAGACTGGCTGTCCGTTTGATTGAGATGCGTGCGTACGCGGACTGCATCGTTTGTTTATACATTGACACACGTCGTTCATAAGTGCAGCCTTACAAAAGTTAGCGACAGTCTCTCTATTTGCCCCTGCCTACGTATAATTGAAAAGTTTCGATTTAATTCATTTTTCTCAATTGCTGTGAACGAGCCTTTTACATTAAGAGTAAATGTGAATGGTCATTTAATGACATCGGGTAAGTTGACATATACATACAGTATATCAGTATGAAAAAAAAACAATGAGGTCAAGCAGATGTTTAAGTCGGAAATTGTCGTTGTTATATATTTTTTTTCCTATTCGGCTCTAGAACGAATAATTATTGTTTGAGTGTCAAAAAAGTATAATCATAACTTCAAAAGAATGAACAGATCTTCTAAGATTAATCATGAGCACAGCTGTCGTCACGCTTTATACTTACATCCGAAATTGAGTTAAATACATATACACGTTTCTTCTCTCTCTCTTTTGTTTTTTAATATTTTCTTCCTATGCCTAACACGAAGAAAACTATTCAAGAGGGAATTATCGTCGTCTCACTTCATTTGTCTGTTTGCTCATTTTCATGTCTTGTGTTGATGTTTCTATGTTAATTATTACATAGATACATGTTTATTGACAGCAAGTTTGCTTCTATTATCGTAGGCTCCGATGAAATACCATCCGTTCACAATCACAAGCCTCATTTATACCGCCTCGTAGAGATGATACGAGAATAAAACGATGTCAGTCTTTCTCGAATTAGAAGTCACTAACTGCTTCTGCCATTAGGCAGAGCAGCGAACAGATTGATCTTTGAACATCCGACTCATATCTCCAACCTGGATCGGATTGTATTGATAAGAGAGGGAGAGAAAAACAGAGCAATACACTGTTAATCAAGGTCAGTTGTTGCTTCTCTCTTTTCCTTTCTATCAATTAGTATGTTTAGTTTAAGTATGCATGATGCAACCTAACACCATTGACAAGGTGCTTTCCTCTGCTTCTACTTTTGGTCTTTTTAATTGTCGACATAGCATAACAACATTACTATTTTAGATATATTAATAAAAATCTTTTCATCATCATCATCTTTTCTTTTCTTACGTAAGGCTATTTGAATTAATTTATATTGCTATTGTGTTTATATATAGACGACATAGAAACATGCAGCGTTTGTAATTACGTTACTATAGAGAAGAACGCATAGCTAGCACTTCTATTGTCCAAACGCACGCAAAGGCTAGCTCTATGTTTGTCTATAGAATTTCAGTTTTTATTTCAGATGATGTTTATCTTGTTCATTTTCCTTTTTTCCGTTGGTAAAAGTCAATCATTAGAAGAATGGAATTGTACGGAAAATAAACATTTTCTGTTTTCGAATGACCAACTCAATGAACAGTGTACAATAACCATTGAATATATATCATTACAACATTACAAACAAATATGTATAACACATCGTTTATCAATAAAAACTCTTCCGCTACCATCGTTCAATTCGAATTATGCAATGCATACGTTCAAAATAAACTCCTGTCAATTATTAACATTGAATCAATTGCCATTTTTATTACCAGCAACAGTTGAAAATCTTGACTTAAGCTACAATCTCCTGTCAACATTTACTCTTTCATTTCCATTACCGTCCTATCTGAAATATTTACGTCTTGATCATAATCCAAATTTAATTGATATTAATTTTAGTCATAGTAATGGTCAACAGCGTTTAATTGGCCTTAGTCTTCGTTATAATAAAAATATTCGCCTTTCATCTTTGCCGCCGTATTTAAAACAACTTGATTTGACCGATTGTAATTTATTACAATCCCCGATACTATCCATATTGAGATCATTAACAAAATTAACTCATTTATCATTAGCCGACAATCAATTAAAACAATTGCCTATAGTTGATAAGCGAACTCAGCTTGAATATCTTAATCTTTCGAATAACTATTTAACTTATATTGACAGTGGATGGTTACATAAATCATTGAAAATTCTTGACCTAACATTTAACCGAATAGAATCAATTGAATTTTTCCATGAAATATTAACGATGAATCAAACAGTAAAACAAAATTATCGTGATCTCGTAAGTACGAATTAATATCGTAATGCAATTCTGAGATAACCTAGAAAATTGAATTTGCATAATTTCTTTATAAAAATTATATCTGTCGAGGGCGTGAGTGTAAGTAGTCAAAAGGACAATTTTGGGTTCATAAATTATTTTTGTCTAACCACAGAAATCTTACAAATCACGTTTGAGTCGCGAGACTACGCATACAAATGAGGTCGTGGCACACATTTATTATTGCATAGATACTTGTTTAACATGAATGACGCGATTTTGAATCGAATTTCTTTTTCTAGGCAACAAATAATCCAATTCTAGAAGTATCGTTACATGGTAATCCGCTAAATTGTGATTGTTGGCTTGGTTCAATCCTAAATGCTTCTTCGATCAAAATAGTCGATCTATCATTACTTCAATGTAAATCTCATTCGATAATCAACATGTCGGATAATGATTTTCTATGTTCATATTCGCAACATTGTGCATCGGATTGCTCTTGTTGTGATTTTGAAGCATGCGATTGTCATTCTGTATGTCCATCTGAATGTTTATGCTTACATGATACATTATGGTCGCATCATATTATTCAATGTCAACAAAGAAATTTGATTGACATGCATATTCATTTACCTGAAACAATAACCGAGCTTAACTATGAAGGAAATCATATTGAAGATTTGAAATCATTTATATTTGTTGGTAAAAAAATTTTAAACAAATTAAATTTAGCAAAAAATGATATCAGAAATTTAACAAACGATACATTTTGTGGTGCAGCAAATCTACGTGAAATCAATCTCAGTTACAATAGAAATTTAAAGATAAAACTTTCAAGTATTAATGAACTATTTTCATGTTTGAAATATCTACAATATATTATTTTATCGAAAGAACAAATTTATCAAGATGAAAAACTTAGTCATGAATGGAGTTTAGAATCAAATGATGATTTATTACGCTTGATACGTATAAAACGACAATTATCATTAGGTATTTTGTTTTTCGAAAAACTAAAATTATATTGTATATATTTGCTTTTTGGTGTTTTAGAATCTTCTTCAATTCTTGATCTTCACACTCTCACGACCTCCACTAGCATCATTACTTCAGTCAGTTTTCCTACGAAAATCTTTTCTCTATATGATCCAGAAGCATTTATGTCTTCAAATTTTATTCAACATAATCAACTCTTAATTATAATCGTGTTTTTTCTATTATTATTTGTTTTACTATTTTTATTATTACTTATCATATTAGCTATTTGTCGACGAAAGCTTCGTCGCCATTTAAAAACGGAACTTCAACGGCAACGATCACAACATTATTATTATCATACGAATTTACATCCGTCAACAATGAAAATTCCTAATAGTAATGGACCACTTGCTGCCAATGAGAGTCTTTACGAACAATTACCATCGTTATCATCGGATAGCGAACAGCCATTTTTATACGCTGAGAAAAAATCAACGAATATAAATGTTCCTGTTCTACCACCATATCCACCGACATTTCGTCGTTATCATTGTTGCCATTCGGCTAATTCACATGATTATCAATATGGTAGAAATCCTTCGATAGCAGCATGTAATTCAATATCAAGTCTACAACCAAATATATGTCCGACAGTTTTAGTTTTGGGAAATCATCATGAATATTCATGTGAATTACAAAAATATTTATTGTCAAATCAACAAGATAAAAATTCTGTGTTGTATGGTAATAATGAAACAGAATTTATAGCAACTAGTCGCTGTCAATGCAATGGACATATAGAAAATGTTGACTCGTCGATCTATCCTAACGCACACAAATCATAATACTTTTTTTTGAGAGAAAAATGTGTATATGAATAAAAATAAAATCATTGATTTTAATTCAACTCGAGATTGTATAGCTATCTAATTCGGAGAAGTATTTTTGTTACTTCTCTTTTTCAATTACTCTTCGTTTTATTATTATATTGAAAAAAAAACACTTCTGTCGATAGGTGGCGTTTTTGTTGGAGAATTTTTCAAGGTATTGATTTTGCCATTTTTAGTCTTCTCTTAATACAGAAAGAGTGCAAGGACCATCAACCACTCCAATCTGAATTTGTGATTTTTGCTTAATGACTAGTCTCCAAACATTTGATCCAAATTAAACATACGTTAGTTTTTATTTCTCAATAAAACAAAATAAAAAGTACACGATCAAATATGAATATGCAACATTGACTAGAGTGATTCGGACAGTGCAAATATGACTATTAAGATTGAAGTGTTGACATCTGCTTGGATGTGTCTAAGTGAAGATCGACAATTTCGATATGTGCAATTGCGTCAATACAAGTAGATTGATTACTAGAATGAAAAGATGTAGCCTAGTGAGAGAATCAATAGTAAAAAGAATTGAAGTGATCACAGACGAAAGGGAATAGAGGAGAAGCTTAGTTTTTTGTGGGTTTTTTTAAAATTTTTGATAATAAATCTTTATTTGTTGTTTTCCATATGATACTTATTTTTAAATCACTTCTACTAATTGTTGTACGATTAAAATTTCGTAAACCGGGTAAGATGCATAAGACATACGATCGAAGATAGGGAATATCATCTTCAATCGGATTACCATTCAATGTCAGGAATTTCAATTGTTTCAATGAAGAGAGTTTTCGAATTTCTCTTATATCAACAATAAGATTTTTATGAAAATAGAAATGTTTAAGCGATATAAATTGTTTAATAGCCTAATAAAATTTGAAAATAGTGAAATTCTCATATAGATAATTCATTCTTACCATAGGAACTTCTGTAAATTGATTACATGATAAATCTATTACAGAAAGAGCATCGGGATTGATGAATATTTCTCGTACAAACTTAGGTAAGGTTTCCAATGGGCCATTTAATTTATTATGATTTAGATTGATTCCATATGAATAATATTGATTACCTTCTTTAACAACCTGTGGTCCACCAGATAGTACACGTGGTCGAGTCGAAACAGCAGCTAGACACATATTGAGAAAAATGATTTACGTGAAAAAAAAGAAAAATTTTTCAATTTAAACCTTCAAGTGTTTCAGCATCATGAAATGAATAATCCAGCGTCGGATAGAATTCTGTAGTATCATCAATACGTTTTTGTATATTTGCTAGAGAATTTTTTAGACGCGCTAACGAGTTCATAATTTAATCGATTGTTCTATTCTATTATGTTCATGAATTGTGTTTGATGTTGCTAAGCGATGGCATACCTATGCATTATACAGAGCGTTGGAAGAAGGTCGCTGTTAAGCAATAACACTTTAAGTTCATCAATGATGACAGAAGAAAAGAAGAAAAAAAAACATGCATCTATATTAATGACAATAAATAAAAATAGTTATATATTTGTATAAATTGATTAAGTTGTTTTTTTTCTGCCATTGTTATATAAAATAAATCAATGGCTACAGCGACTGCTATTAAATCAGGATCTGCAGGTATGTAAAAATAATCATAAAGGCGTACTTTTTATTTTTGGTTCATGTGAATTGTTTTTTTTTCTGCAGAAGGCGGAATGCAATTTCGTACGCAAATGGTCAACGGGAAACCGCAAATCTATTTCGATGCTATTGGTTAGTACTGTTGTTTGATATTTATTCGTCATTGAGAAATAAATATATTTTCTAGATGAATCTTCAACAAAGCCAAGACCCAAACGGAGTGGTCCCGCTATGAATGCAACTCGTCCGCCTGAACCTCCTAAATCTAAACCTAGTAGTCAGAAGCCTCCTTCACAAAATCAAACCAATAAAGTTACGAAAAAGAAACAAAAAGTTACTTTTAGTGAAGCAGGTCCAACAGCAGGCATGTTTATGACTATGGATGAAATATCCGAACTTGTAAAAACTGTTCAGGAAACTACTAGAGGTAAGAAAAGAACAATTATATTTTGGATTCTTATATCGAATGAACTTTTATTTTTAGCTCAAAGTACGATTATGAACGAAAACAATGGTATTTTTTTAGTTTGATAAAAATCAATCGACTTTCTTTCATATATCATTTTTATAGTACCTACAAATTCATCTTTTCGATCAACTCAACAACAAGAGCCATCATCATCATCACAACAACAACAGCAGCAGCAGCAGCAGCAATTCTATCAAACTTCATCTACAGCTGTAGTGCCTAAGTTAGATTTATCTCAACAGCAACTGCCTCCATCATTTTCTCAACCATTAGCTCCAATCTCACCTCGACAAGAGGCATTGGGTATGATGGCTGACAAGAAACGTCAAAAATGGATGCGTGAAAAAGGTTCGAATGATTTTAAAAATTCAATCTCATTTATTGTGTCTATCTTTTAGCTGAAATGGATCGTATGAAACTTGAAGTTGAATATGATCAACTTAAACATCAATTATCTCCTATGCATCAAAAAGCTTCATCATCACCGGGTATGTTTGTTTTATAGATAGATCTCTCTACAAATTTTATTTCTCTTCTTTCAGAACGATCCGCCTATCCACCAGGTGACTTTTCATCAAACAATAGGCCACCACTTCCACCTTCAATGAAACAAAATGATAATCAACAAAGTGATTTCGGTAAAACACGTTTAATGGAAAAGAAACAACAACAATGGAAACAAGAAAACGGTAAAATTTAATTTCACATAGAGAAATATTTTATTTTTCAATTTCTTAGCTGAAAAAGCTCCAGTATGGAATCCATTTGGCCGACCTGGTGCTGGTGCACCTATGTCAAACGAACTTCAACAAAAGCCTTCAGTTTGTTTCATATCTAGAGCACGAAATAGGTTTTCATTGATCTTCGTTTTTTAGCAACCGTTGTCGAATATTGCAATGCCTTATCGACCACCAGATAACTCGTCGATTCAAACCAATATTGTTCTCAATGATCAAACACATGTACCAGCTGCAATGCGTACGAATCTATTATTTGGTGATGTTCGTTTCGAAGACGATGTTAAAACAGCTAAAGAAATGGAACGTCGACAATGGTTAGACGATCTACAAAGGCAAATCGAAGATAATAAACGTAAAAAATCTCGAGATCAAGAGACTGAACGTCGACACGATTTTCTACAAGACAATATTCAACCGCTTGTGCAAGAAGCTGCAAATAGACATCAACAAGAAAAAGAACCAGCAACACCAACTACGGATACAACATTAGGACAAAATAATACTAGTGGACAAAATCCAACAAAGTCAAATCGACATGAATCATTAGTACAACATACCTATGATAAAATACTTGAAGCAACGGAATTGGCTAAATATGAAAAAAAAGCACAATTAATTGAGAAACTTAAACGTAATGGACATAAAACAGATTTATTAGCTAAAACATTACCAGGTTACATAAAAACAGATGTTTTGTTTTTTCAGAAATATATTTCGTATTCTTTTATAGCTGTAAATTCAAATGTTCCACCTGTTACTCCAAAGGTCATCGAGAAAAATATTGATACGTCACCAAAAAAGCATACAACCGTGAAAATTGAACCACTACATTTCAATATTGGTAATGATAATCAACAATCTAATCGAGCAAAAGATGCGCCACGAGACGAAGCGGTTAACACAGTAAATTCAACTTTTCGAAGGTATTCATTCAAACATTAATTATCATTAAAATATTCTTTTTTTTTCTACAACCTAGCGATAATAGTGTTCAAACCGATCTTCAAATAGTACCACATAAACAAATGTTTTCTTTTACTCGAGAAGAATCTGATTTACCACCTCAAATACCCAATCATCTACTTCGTAATGGTAAACAAAATAAAAAAAATGTTCGCATACGTTCACTTGAAGATACTCAACGGCAACGACGTCCATCCATATCCACAACACATTCAAGTCATAATACAATCGATGATGGTGTCGGATCTCAAATTGGTACTCATCGTAGTAATTATGGTACCATCGATCTTGTTCATCGTCCATTATGGAATTATCAAAATCCTGAACATCGTGAATATGTAACAAATTCAAGACGTGATCCACATTACGATAAACGTCCGCGTCAGAGAAATGCTGAACAAGAAAATTTTGATCGTACCGATGACGTACAGAAAAGAACAGCCTATAATCGTTGGAATAGCGATAGTGAATTACAACAACAACAACAACAACAACGCAAAGAAAGAAAATTCACACCTTCGAATCGAACACGTCCTACAGCTTTAAAACAAAGTAATATAAATAAAAATGAACCTATTCCTCGAGCAAAACCACCACATGAAGCATTTCTTGTAAAGAAAACAGATGATGAATCTAGTTATATTAATATATCATCACTGGATAAATATGAACATTTTATACCATACACAAGAACCGATGATGTACTTGATCCATCGAAAGCCTTTTCACCGATACCACCATCAAGAGAAACATCAGCTCACACACAACAAATTACAGTAAGGCGATACAAAAAAAAAAGAACGAACACCTTCTTTTAATTATATTCTTATTTTATAGACAACTACAAACGATGATCATCGGCGACGACAAAATACCAGTATTCAACCACCACCCTATCATGTACCTCCATCTCGACAAGAACATATTCTTCAACAATTAACAGCTATTAAAGAAGTACATGACAATATCTTATCGTTCTATGATTATTAATATCAATTTCTTTTCTTACAGAATTTAGTTCGTCGACAACAAGAAGTGACAACATCAATGAATGCTATTCCAGTCTAATCAACAAGAAGATTTATTTCGCCTAGCGACTTTTTTTTCTGTTTTCATTTGTGTGTGTGCGCATATGCATCTTTTTAATTTATATTATGAATCTATTTGATAAAAAGGATTGAACAGCAATTAAATCTTGAGGGCGTGGGCGTATACGTCCAGGGTGTGGGTGTGCGTAAGAAACAACGGGGACATTTACACCGACTCCCACACCCTCGTCAGATACCGTATGACAATACAAGATCATTATCGACGCACCCGCAATGTTCAAGGTTATTAGCTTATTGTTTTATTTGATGCTAATTTTGAATATATATGCTATAGTTCTACACTCATTTTCCAGTTTTTACTTTGCCTCCTATAAATTTTATTCAAATTGAAAACATTACAATGAGATAGTTGAGAATGACAGTTCGGTTGGTGTGATATTCGTGGTATTCGTTCCAATCGTTGTATGTTTTTTTTATGGATAAAACGTGCCGCCGTCTCCGTAGTTCTCCTGTGCAAGGTCGTGAGCTTTTTTCACAGCCTCATGTTTTGTTTTTTCCCGATTGGTATGATCGATATCATGTGTTTCGAATATTTTGTCGACTTCAGCGGCGGCAAAAGTAGCCAACATTTCCTTCATCACGTGATGTGACACTGGTTCCCCTGAACGACGCACATGATCTTCACACATGCTCATGGCTAAATGAACAAAGAAATTCATCTTAAAGCAGTCTCGAAAGTGCTCAATATTGATTCATTGATTAAAAGCGACCGAAAGATCATATTGACGAAAAGCATCTTTCAAATCGGGAAAGCAGTTCGCCACACTCAGGTGATAGGGTGTTAAGTTTTGTGTGAGAAGTTGTTTCCAGAATTAACTAAACTTTTTTTTGCAAAGGTGAGAGTGATGATGTGCGACTGTAAGGTTTTGGGATAAACTGGAGGCGAAGTTATCATGTAGATCATACTGTTGTGCAGATTATTCGTTCCTTTCATGGTCTTCTCTGTACTCAACTTTGTGTTTGATCATGTTTGATGGAGTCTGCATTAGAGATCTTGTGAGTACTGGCAAGTTAATATGCTGTACCTCTTTTTACTGTTAGGACAAGCGCGTGTCTTATGATCATCTCGCGAGTGCAAATGAAAAAATACACTGATGTTAGGTGTTATCAAACTGATCAGTCATCCTATTCCGCAATGCTGAACATTCCGAAACTAGATCAAACCGGAACACTGTCCGATTCGCGGAATTGCACGGAATTCAGTCCAATTCCGGAATTTCAACATTGTGGAATAGGATGTATTCTCCGTGTTATATGATTGTTCACTAAATAAAGTTTCTCTTAGTTAAAAGGGCGAAATGTGTTCTTTGCTCAGAAAGGCACGTTGCTGACTAAACAGCTGTTTGATTTCAGCAGGAGTCAATCCGGAGGAAACTACCTCTCTTCAGAATCCGAATTCATTAGAAAGCACTTTACTGTATGCATTTAATACAATGGATAAACGGACAAAGCATTGGCTCTGAATCCGGTTCATGACAATCAATCACATTCTAATATCATCATGTGGAATGGTTTCCTCACGACTTGCAAATTTTATTTTGTAACATCCTCGATTTTTCGAAGCATTATGTATCAGGCAATAGCTTGGTCTATTCAGAAAAAGGCATAAAGTATAACAACCTTACCCTGAAAACCAGCTGCGCTGGCTACCATCTATTCTGCCCATGCTGACTTGTGGCCTTCATGCTTTCCCTCGTAGATGTGCTCATGAGCTTTCTTACTTTCATGCATACCCATTTCTACTATTAATATTTGCGTCGTCTATTTCGTACTGGCTTTACAAATGAAGTACGTTAAAGAGTATTGCATTTTTCATAAGAGAAAAGGTGACAGATTCTACTGAAAGAAAAAGAAAAAGAAACACTCCCGTCAAACTTTATACTAACATAAACACAAAAAATAAGTTGCAATACGTCCTGCAAAGTTTGTTGACAAGGACACGCGCAGCATGGCGTGAGAAAGTGCACTTTTTTGACTGTGTTACCACACAAATAATTTTTTATTCTGCGCTGCGTGATGATTAGTTTCCATTGATTGAAATAAAGCATGTTTACTAAACCTATCATGACAACTCGAGCGGAAAAATTGATAAAAAAGGCGCTTCGCCCAGGTGACCAAAAGACTAGTAAAAAGACTAGTCTTTTTTCTAGACAAGTCGGCCGTCCAGTCTAGTCTTTTTCTCAAAATGTTCTAGTACAGGACTAGTCTGAAATCTCGGATAGTCGATAGTGCCCGTCCGGACTATGAAAGTGACTGGAGTCATTCTATTTGTCATGCGTAGTCTTTTTCGACAAAAAGTCTAGACATGCTGTACCATCCTGACGCCCGTCAAAAATATGATTCTAAATAAAAGTAAGAGCGTCCATGACGCTTTACATGACGAGTTGTGGTCTTATATAATGACGAGGTCCTGACTAGTCTAAACTGAAATATTTTATGGCTACAACTAGATTCGAACACACATACCAACTATTACTTACCCATCGTTCAGACCATTGAGCCATTTGATCGAGAGATCAATTTATCAGTATTTCTAGTCATTCTGATATGCTTTAAAATACGAATTTTTCCTAAGTTTTATTCAATTTTTCATATGAATAAAAAATATTTTTTTTATAAATTCCAAAATTATTCAGATGAAATTGAATAAAATAAATTGAAAACTGTGGTTATTTTATCTCATGTTTTTTGTCTTGTTTTGGTCATTAATTTAGCAATTCAGCAGGACATTTTATTCAACAATCTTTTTCCTTCTAATATTTATTTAGATAATTCAGAATTCGTACTGACGGTGTACTTAAAAAATAGAATAATCTTTACGAACATACAACAGTTTATATTAGCCTAGGAACAGTCCTTCTAGCTACCATTAAAGGCATTTTCGGGTAGTGAGAATCAGTTTCCATCAAGTGATTTCTGCACGCATGGTATATGGAAGACACCCATTTGCATTTTAGAATATATACATAGACATAAGGCTTACTGTATTATGGACTGTCGTCAAGACGCCAGTCTGATTTTTAATAGTATTATAAGTGTCTCTAATGTTGTAAGCTAACTTTCTTCTCCACTTTTTACAATATTTTCCCCTGCTATGGGCTAGTCCAGGTGGGAGTAAATTAATAAACAGACCAGTCTAGACGGGTAAAATGACATACGGACTAGTCATAATGATGCTTTAGAATATATTGGACTAGTCTAGACGGATAAAATGACAAACGGACTAGTCAGAACGATGCTCTGGGATAGCTTGGACCAGTCTAGACGGGTAAAATGACATACGGACTAGCTATAATAGATATGGAAGACGTATTAGACTAGACTTGACGGGTATAGCAGACTTTTGGACTAGTCATGTCGCTCGTCCTCCCTATTTTTTGCTCACTTGGGGATCTCGACGTTGCTATGTAGCTTTTTATGTTTTCAAAAAAAAAGATTAGTTTTTTAACAATAAATATGGAGTTTCAATAGATTGATGATGCAGCACGAGTTGATTTTTGTGTACTCAAAAAGAAAAGAGTACACTATAGAATCGGTCAGTGTGTCTGGCCGGCCGTCCGTCCGTCCGTTTATTCGATAACTCTTCACAATTACATTCGATTGAGCTGAAATTTTGTGCACAGAATTATCCCATCAATATCTAGGCCGAGTTCGAAGATGAGAAGGATCCGTCAAGAAATGGTTGAGTTATCGAAAAAATTGCCATTTTTGACCAGACCATCCTTGAGGAGGGGTACAGGGATTTTTCAAAAAACAATTTTTCCCAGAATTATTCACAACATATATAAATCGACTCAGTTTGTAACGCTGATTCCGAATTTGATATTAGTTTTGAACTAAATCGTAGCTTTCTAACGAAACATCGCCTGAAAACGTCTCAAAATGCACAAAAACTGCATCCAGAAATCAAATTGCCTAGTTTCTCATGATAATTTTCGTGTTCAGGCATTCTAGAATGACTCATGTCGCATGCACTTTTTGCAGTATACATAACTCTCGGATGAAATCCGAAGTTTCCACATTTATTATTTAATATAAAATGATTCAATTAAATAAAAATTTTTATTTAAGTTTTGAATGTTTTTTGCTCTTTCTTTATCGATATTTCGTCCTTATTGATACGGAAATTTACGAGATATGTTGACGTTGTTGTTTTGATTGGTATAGATGTTAAATTGTTGTTGATGTTTGTCGATGTTGCATCTAGTTTTATGTTCATTATCCAGGACCTTATGTTTACCTATCATTTCCACGACCGTTTCCTGATGCTAGCTTGACCATTGACCTAAATTCATAACCAGATATTTCTCAAGTTGAATTGTATGTTGCTGTTGTTTTTCTTCGATTTCATATAATTTTAGCTGCTTGTTCATGTAATTCTTAATGCATCATATGATAATCGATTGTTAAGAAAGTTTTTAGAAGGATAATTTTGATATTGATTATATCTGTAACGAAAAGAAATCAGGCAGAGTGTATTTTTTGGGTGGTTGTTGATTTCGGATTGGATTGGAAGTGGCTGAATGGGATTAGGTTTCAATAATATTCTTTTTTTCTGATTTTTCTGTCAAGTTCTCAAGAAAGGCTTTTTTCTTGGTAGTCGCGACGATTGAAGATATTATGGAGTATCATGGATGGAGACTCAAGGGAGTTTTTTGTTAGTTTTGTGGAGGAATGGTTTATAAAGACGTTCTTTGTTTTTCTTTTAAGTATAGAATGTGTTAATGGGAAAAGCAATGAAATTCGATTGGCTAATCCTGTTTGATATGTTAAAGTTGAATCTAGTTTTGAAGATGGCTGTTGCTTTCTGAGGCTAATGAAAATTAATTAAGTTTGCTTTTTTCAAATGTTTCAAAATTTTGATGCTAATGACTTCTGTCGATAGTTTTGAGGTATTTCCTTCGAGCAATGTTGATGCATTTGTAATTTCGCATCATAGCGGTGTAATTTTTTGGATTTCTTTGTATCTTTGTGCGCCTTTGCTTTATGTTGTCTTCGTTCTTTCATCAGTTGGAGTATATCTTCTGTCATTCATTTTTGTATAGCCGAATTCTTCTTTTTTTAATTTTAAAATAACGTTTTTATCATTTGCCATCGATCATCGCTGGAATATGACTCAATTTGTGCTGGTTTTACGGCCTTTAAATTGTCTTTTAACTTCGTTTTGATTTTATTTTTTAATTCATTGCTGTTTCTTAATTTTTCCATGTGAATTTTCCTATTAGTGTGTGCTTTTTTGATAGTTTTTAGTTTAATCCTATTTTAGCAGCTACTGGGTTGTGACTTGATGACACATCTGCTTCAGGATAAGTTTGTGCATTTAGTATTCTTGCCTTAAAACGTTTTTTTTATTGAGGATATAATCAATTTGATTTCTTGCGATATTGTCATTTTTATCTGAGAATACATCCTATTCCGCAATGTTGAACATTCCAGAACCAGTTCCGCTCACGGAACCAATTCCATCTAATTCCCGAAATTCCATTTATCACTTCCAACAGAATTCCGGAATTCCCGGAATCACTGCCGACCAATTCCATCTAATTCCCGGAATTCCGTTTATCAATTCCGATTCAATTCCGGAATTACACGGAATTCAAACGGATTCCGCCTAATTCCCAACGGTTCCGGAATTCAGCGCACTTACACCCACACCCACACCCTCAAGATATCTTTTAATGCGCTCAGCTATTAATAATACGAATTGCCAGTATGATAATGTGAACGGTCACCATGCCTCTAGAGTACAGCTCTCCTCAGTTATAACGTAGATGAATTGATACCACGATAGGTTCAGTAAGTAACACACTAACAACGAGTCTATAAGAGTGAGGGTGCCCATGTCGAAAAATCTGACACAAGATCTTGGAATACGGGCGAAATCTTACAAGAATCTGACAAAAAATCGTAGTTCCTGAGATCTTAGATCAATTCGCACAATCGGATTCTTGAATGATCTTACACATTAATACGAACTTTGAAGAATCTGATTGTTGGACCTGATCTAAGATCTCAGGAACTATGATTTTTTGTATGATTTTCGTATGATCGTGCAAGATCTTATCAGATCTTTCAATATGATTGCTCGACCTGGGTGGAGCAACTAACATGCAAGAATAAATGTGAATGAAAAAGATCGTTGAAAAAAAAGACCTATTCTTAGCCATATCACGTACAAATTGACATTTAAAAATCCATTCGTCGATATTTATCGTATAGGATAGCAATAGTGGAACATATTTCGTTATTTTTCTGTTCAAGAATACATTTTCCTAGCTTATTAAAATCTTGTTGTCCGATGGTGGTTAAATTTACGTTCTGAAATTGGTTGGTATGTATTTGATCTTATATTCACAAATGAGACATCCTGTTCTATCTGATTTAAACGGAATTCTATTTATTAAGGGTGAGTAATTTTCAAAATAGGACTTATTAATATGCGAAAATAAGATCTACTTCATGGATAATATCGGATAGCAACCTGTTCAATGTATGACTTGATCAATTAATGTGGAGGGTACGTGGCTGTGATGGACGAGTAGACGCATAACCCACACTATTTTAAAGACGTCCAAGTGTAATATCTCGTCCAATTCCTCGATGAATAAGTGCAGTAAATTCCTCTAGGTTCAATTTAAAGTCATTATTTTTATCAACTTGTTGAATATGATGAAGTAATATATATGGATTACTATTAGGTAGGATAGCAGGCATAAAAGCGGCTAATTCACCAATATCAATTGTACCTGAATGATCAGAATCTAACAAACGAAATGCCTCAGGTATATCATCATGTGCGAAAGCACCCATCATGAATGGTCTTAATACTTTGATAAATTTGTCAAATGGTAATGTCGGTTGTTGTATTGTAGCCGCTACTCGTTCATAGTCTGCCCGTGTTACTGCTCTACGATAATCATCATGTTCGCCATTTTTACGAAATTCAATGTATACATATTCGACTTCATCAATTCGATTGCCATGCATTTTAATAGTTTCGTCAACACGAGCTTGATAATCATTTGTAGCCATTATTAAAATCGAAACTAGACAAAGAATGATTCACTTGGGTTTAGGTCTACTTGATTGATGAAATTCAAGGATAATCGCTGTTGTTCTGATTCAAAAAGAGTAAAATGAAAAACGTAGTAAATTTACGTTTTTATGTATTTTTCTTTTGTTGCAATAAAAAATTTATGACATTCCTTCTTCTAAAAATAGCTGATATATGAAAGCAAAAGAATTTAAAAAAAAAGAATTCAATGCAATAAAGATATATTTGCATTAGACAAATGAACAGCAAAATACATGCCGAATGGGAAGCGTACTTTGTCAATATTTGCCATTTTTCTGTTTTATTGCTGCTATCAAAAATTTGAAGCCTAGACATGCTAAGGAATTCGTTTAATTAGATCTTCTACAAGCGTGCAAAATCGATTCCGAAAAACAAACACCAAGAAAAAATCTCTGTTTTATAAACACTTTGTGAATGAAAAAACTTTGACGCTCATTCGGAACCTCTTGGTTTCCTTGCTTTCAGTAAACTTTTCTCACTCCGGCTAAATAGAAAACGCAGAATCACTTGGCCTATTTTACATTTGTTTTCATCAGGTTCGTTTTTTCTTCTTTCGTTATTCGATTAAATATTTAGATGTTAATGAGACTTTCATTTGGCTTATGCATACACTTATAGACTGATATCATGAATTCTATTGAATAATATCGCTATAGTGCAGAGGCAGCGGAGCGCCATTAAGCTAGGTGAGGTTCATAATATTTTTTTTTCTACTTTGGAATTTTATGAAAGCAACAAGCAGAAAATAAGTCTCCTTTTTATTGAGCTTCAATAAGAATAAAAATGGTCAGTATAAAAACGAAGATTGGAAAATACCAAAATATACATTTCTTTGCTCATACTTTGATGCAAGAATAAAAAATAGCAATAATCAGCAAAAAAGCAAGTGAGGCTGAGCCTCATCTTGCGAAATCTAGGTGAGGCTCAAGCCTCATGAGTCTCAGTAACTCGGATGTGTGTGGTATAGTGGTTTGAAGGGATTGTGCTTGCACTTATTGATGCTTTATAATGTGTAGAATGAATAAAATTGACATTCTTTACTTTTTATTTAAATATTCGATAATAATTGATTAGATCCATTATTGTTCATGTCGTAAACACTTGAAAGAGTTTTAAATTAGCTTAATCAACAGAACAGCCTCAAGTAAAACTATAAGCAAAAATGTATGGATGAATGGGTCATTTCATTTTAAAACTGGTACCAAAACAAATCCTATGAGGTAAGTTCTAATTATTTGATGAGGAAAGGAGTTAGAGAGTGGACGGCAACATTCATATTTTTCACTGATTTAAAACAGATAGTCAATTTTACTTGTGTACATCAGATTGAACATCTTTCAACCCTGATAATGACTTAGAAAACTGATTTTTTCGAACTAAAAGCGTTTAAATTAAATTGCTAAGAATAAATGTAAAATTTATCAAAATAAAATATTGTACATTCCAAGTATCCACCGAAAAAATGAGTCTTTATCCAAAAAAAGAACAACAGCAAGGCTTCTTAAATGTTTTTCGTTTAATCGTTCGATTTCCTTTTTTTGTGCCATGTATATCAGTCAGATCTTGTACTATTGTTTCTGTGCATTAATTTGGATATATTACTGGAAACAGTTTATTAACAATTGTTCGTAAATACAAAGCTAATTGTTGAAATTTTCCAGTTCCAATGAAAAATTCCCATCGGAATCGATAGTACGCAATATAGATCGTAAATATTTACATTTATACTATTATATAGCCGAAAATTATCATAATTTATCATAACATTTTTTCAAAAAGGAATGTTTCAACAAATTCTCCTTAGTCTTCCGCTCTCCAATACCTGACTTACACATTCATTGGTATAAAAATTAAGTGAACTTTATTAAAATGTAAACGTATACTCATTCCTCGTGCTTGTTCGCACTATCAAAGCATACCATCGGTATGGTTCGAACGGTCAATTGCTATACATGTGGCTTACCCAAAGTTTGCCGATTAAAAATTTTCGTGATAATTTCATCGAACTTTGCCGTAACTCATAATACTATTTTACGATCGATAAAAAAAGTCATCCGCCAGCAGGTATAATATTTAGTAAATAGATAAGATTTTGCAACGCTTGATTGACATGAGAAGATTAAATTCGTGTCCATTCTTCACTCTTGATAATACTTGTATTATCGCATTGAGTTAATTACATCCTAGTATATATTCAAGGTAAAATTTTAGTCACCTGTTATTTTCTAACAAAAGCTGCCAATCAAATATAATGATAAAGAAATTGCAAACCATGCTATTAGAAAGATGTTTTGATGAAGCTTGCACATGAATCAACCAGTCGAATTGTAGTGATCCTACAGTCTCGACAGAAAAAAAGTCACAATATTTCATATGTTATAAGTGAGAGTGGATCGAAATCAAGTTTTTCCGTATTTTGAACTATGAAGAATGCAATTTTCTAGACAGTATATTCTCTCACATGCTCATACAGAGTCATTGTTCTTACTGTTGTTTGCACATTTTCTACTCAAGCACAGCGGCTGAAGAAACAACAAGAAGAAGAATCAGTAAAAAAAAACTTAAAAGATATGAATCGAAATCCTATCTAGAAATTATTTCATTATTTGAAACAAACCTTTAATAATAATCCAATAGAACAATCAACAGCTCAGCACATATGAAATATCATACTCTATAGTTTTATACATATCCATTATACAAAAACAAAAAAATCAGTCAAGGATCATGAGAAACTCATGAAATATTTTCTAATATCTGAATGTCAGAGAGCGTTGATAAAGGTAAGACAATAATGCAACCAAATACTTTAAGCTAACGTAACATATTTGATTGGCAATATTTTTTTCTCTACTCTTTGCTTATATCGTTCTGTATGTTTTCATTATACAGAAGGTAACCCCGGTAGTCGAAAAAAAGAGAGAAAAAATGGCACGTGTTTTTGTCTTTCATTGCAATAGTAGATCAAACATACGTAAAAAAAAAGAGAATATAAAAAAAATCTACCTTTTGCAAGAGCCCTCGCACACGACACGAATATGACAACAGAAAGCGACGAAGCTCCTCTGGTTGAACTTTCCAGTGATAAAATTCTTGAGAGGCCACAATCAGGTTTATGGCGGCTTTTTCATGGAACACATTACATGATTGGTGGCATTACTTTTGTCACTGGATCATGTATGTACTTTCCTGATATTTACAATAAATATTCATCTGCATTAAGTATTGGTGGATGGCTTTTTACTATTGGCTCATTCTTCTTTTTACTTGCTGATCTACAAGAATGGTGGTATTATCGAGTTGGCTGCTGTTGTGATCGTAAATATCGAACAGCATTAGAAACGCATGATCATACTCTATTCCTTCATCCACGAAACTCACTTCGTGGTCGATATGAACGAGCAGAAGTGGGAATAAATTTTTTTATGTCTGCTTGTGGCTCTGCATTTTATCTAGCTGGATCAATATTATTTATTCCAATATTCGACAAAGAGTTAATTTATGGTGAATGGTTTTTTATTGTTGGTTCAGCATTTATTTATGTATCTCAAGCTTGGAAAGTATATCGTTCTGCTACCATTAATATTCAAGATCGACATGATAGTCGATTTCGTTTGTCAAATTTCTTAAATGATATTCCAGCATTAGGTGTTGATGGCTTTGCTGGTATTGGTGGTGTTTTTTATTTTATTGGTACCATCTTATTTCTTCCATCTTTCAATAAAAGTGAATCAGATGCGGTTACCGTTGCAATTCTATTTGTATGTGGTGGTACAGGTTTTACATTATCTGGACTTTTTCTTCAATATCGTCATCATTGTACTCATCACGCATAATATTTATCAAAGCTCAGTATTATTCTAGTGTTTAGATACGCAATAAAAACTAATTAAACTAAAGAAAGAGTTCGCAAATAAGCATTGCTAAAGAGAAAAACAAGCAACCGAAAGTTTTGGCATGCTTTTTTTTGCTTTTCTTAGTTTTCAATACAATAAGTATAAAAAAAAAACGAATAATGATACGTGCAATAGTAACAACACAATTAGTTTGACAGGATAATAGGCTTCAACTGTTTGTATATATATATCAGTGAAATGAAAACATGTACTGGATATATTTTTCTTTGGAAAAAAACAAGAATTCACGAAATAATTGAGTTATATAGTATGGTCTCGTAGTTAATGATTTATCTTGATCACCAACAATTAACAGGGTTTTCTCTTCTTTATTTAAAAATCTGAATTAGCCGTAAAGAAAAATTTGAATTATTCGTGTTAATATATGATTATAAGATTTTGCTGAACTCTGAAACATCTTTCCTCAAGTATTTGTCATATTGTTTCAATAGCATGCGAATTTATAGTTTTTTTTTAAATACTTACTTGAAAAAGACAGTGCTGTTCAAGTAAATAAATTTTCGAATTAAAATATTCGATGATATTTGTAATGATATTCAAAGTTTAATAAATCGAGGGTATGGGTGTATGAGAACTAATTCAATTTTATCGTTATCAATACGCACACCTTTGCGAAAGCTTGATAGCGAAGAAGTAAGTAAGTGCAGTCTAACAGTAAGTTGAATGCTTCATAATTATAAGTTTATTGGAACAAAGTTATACTATGGATAAAACAAAACAAGCGTAATGTATTTATGGGCCTGATGCAACGTGCCATTGACATAAAACGCGCTACAAAGCCTACCGAACATTTCTTTAAAGTATCTTCGTAAACTTTGATTTTTTTTCAGTTAAATAGGACTGGCAATTTCTCTATATGCCACACTAACTGCGATGAGAAAAATTATCAATTCTTGCTCACTGTTTCGTTTTCAATAAAGCAAATATACTGCGTTGAGTAGGGGTGTCACATTTTAATTTTAAAAACATTATTAAATCGAGAAATAAATTTTCAAAAAGTTAAATTTAAAATTTTGTATCGCATAAATTTAACTAAATTTAAATTAAATCGTTTGAAATTCAAATTAGTTAAATTTTGAAAACTAGTAGATAAACATAGTTTTTGACTTGATTTCTACTATTTAAAGTCAAATTTGAGTATGTTTCTTGTTTTCTAAAGTTCAAGCTAGTCATTCTTCTACAAATTGTGTTATTAAATATATTTTTATGAGTATTCCGGTATTTTAAAGAAGAAAGATGTCGGATCCTGGATGATCTGTAGAAAAATTTTAACTATTATCAACAAATATGAACCTAAAATACTAGTTTCTCGTCTCATTTAGCATTTACTACTGTTAAAGTCACGTATTTTTCTCATAGCAATGATGTGTATCCATCCAAACAATTTATTAAATTTAAAATTTAAATTTAAATTTAAATGATTTTTCAGCCCAATAATTTAATTTGAAACTAAATTAACTTTTCGCTAAGTTAAATTTAAATTAAATAAGCTGCAAATTGACACCCCTAGCATCGAGAAATGAGTCCTGATATAGTTTTTTGACAGTTAATAAAAAAAAAACTGTTTGTCGAGTTGTCAAAAATCTGTCTTTATGTTGATATGATGTTTTCTACAGTAATACATATTTGCTTCAAATAAAATATGTTTATTCGGATAGAAAAGCTCTTGGCCAAAATTAAAACTTAACAAATTTTAAACTCGTTATACGTGGTATTATTGTCTGTCTGAGAGCCGGCGGGACAAAAAGTTCATGTATTAAATTAGAATATAGTTGCGAAGATTCAATATCATCCGGATGAACTTGATTGCCAAATGAGTGTGCTTGTACTATCTGTCCAGACAAGGTTACCACTAGCTTCCATTGTTAGACAAAATGGTGCACCCACACCTCCATTGTTAACCATTGGTGACCAAATCGGTACCCCGCTACTTGTATAAACAACTAGGTTTCTGTCTCCTTGAGCAGCAAAAAAAGCACCCGCTGGTGTTGATGATTGCCCGGCAGTCCATATTGATGTGGAAGTAACATTGTTGTAACCATAGGCAACATATACACCAAACTGATTGTTCAGCATGCCAGCTGCATAGCGTAGGCTAGTGGGTGAATAGATAAATTGATTGCTATAGAGAACGCCACTGGTGCTAGCAGGTGTACACAGTGTAGATGGCGGAACTAGAATTAGAAAGTGACCCAACAAAAATTTGAGAAAATTCGCCAAAGCAATCAGCAAAGAGTTAGAACATCTGGGCATCAATTTTCAGCGTAAAAATATAGTCTAGTACATGCTGCCTTCTGTTATGGCATGCGCCTAATGCTTCCTCATTCATACCCGTCGTTGTGGTTGTCGTTGTCGTTGTTGTTGTCGTTGTTGTGGTTGTCGAAGTAGTCGTTGTCGTGGTTGTCGACGTAGTCGTTGTAGTTGTTCGTGTAGTCGTGGTGGTGGTCGTCGTCGTTGTCGTCGTTGTTGATGTTGTGGTGGTGGTGGTTGTAGCTGTTGTTGTTGTAGTAGTGGTCGTTGTTGTTGTAGTTGTGGCTGTTGTTGTTGTAGTTGTAGTTGTTGTTGTAGTTGTAGTTGCAGTTGTAGTTGTTGTTGTAGTTGTAGTTTTAGTTGTAGTTGTTGTTGTAGTTGTAGTTGTTGTAGTAGCTATTAGACGAGGTTGACAAAAGAAAATATTTTTCTAAGTACTCAGACGATAATAGATCTGCAGTTAACATGATAATGGTTTCTACCTGTATACTAATAGCGAGTCTTACTCTTCTAAACTGAATGGCTTAATAGTGTCACAGTGATGCGTGATAATTAATTTATTCGAGTGATTTATGCTACTATTTTTCAACAGCTCAATGTACGAAATCCTAGCTGTTGTATGAGTAAAACTTTGCTTGAATTCTGCGTAAAATTGTTTTTGTCGATATCTCTGTGTAGTGTAAATGCCAGAAAAGACAGACTTGAATTGACAGAAATGTGTGGAGTTTTGAACTAATAAATGTTGCGAAGGCTTTATGTGTTCATATAATCAGGGGCCGCGCGACCAGCGGGACGAGGAGGGTGTGGGGGGGGGGGGGGGGGGGGGGGGGGGGGGGGGGGGGGGGGGGGGGGGGGGGGGGGGGGGGGGGGGGGGGGGGGGGGGGGGGGGGGGGGGGGGGGGGGGGGGG